ACTGAAACAAATTATCCACTGCTATGGTTACTATGCAAAAATATGCTGATGATCATACTTTACAATAGCAAAAAGTACAGGGGAACAGAAATTAAATTGGTGCTCATGTTAAAAAATAAAATAATTATATCCCAATCTCCCGAGGTAGCTTTTCTAGGATTAAAGATGTATGGACTTTTTTTAAACAGGACAGTTGTTTACACCTACCATTTAATCTAAGTTAGGAGAGGATTAAAAACTAGTTTGTTAGCAAAAAAAAAAAAATCAGAAAATAATGTATTTTCTTAAGTGGGGCTGTTGGATGTCATTATGCCACTAAAGAAATATATGAAATATTGACTCTTAGCATTTATATTTGAAAGCTGTAGCCAACCTTTACGTAACTTTCTCTTCTTTCCTGCAGCACAGGTAAGAAAAAAGAAAAAAATGAGAGGTATCTTTCTCCCCTTAAACCACATCCAAACACTGAATATATGTACCATTCTACAACTTTAAATGGCTTTTCCAGCTACAGGATCGACACGAATCAGTGTCAGATAAGCAGCAACAAAACAAGCCTTTGTCCTGATACTATTGATTTATTGGTAGACGTGGAGATTTTGCTCTATGTTTCCAGTAGAATCAGGATTTTGGTTAACATCTTTATTTAGCAGTTCAACCACTTTTGGCAGTCAGGGGTAGTAAGTCCATTAATCTCAGAAGCACTCCAAAGTTTCAAAATAGCAACGAAAAATATTCATGAAAGGTTCTTTCTGCTCCCTGATGGATGATGGCAATCGGACACTTGGACATCAGCAAACAGAAATGTAGCATGATAGTGACAATTTCCATCAAAAAAGCGGCACAAATTAAATATTTGCTGCTGGAATCAGACAGGGGGCACTGGTCATTTTATCTTTATAGGATACAGAGTACAAGAGTTTGCAATAGAGCAATCAGGAAAATCTCCCAAAGGAGTTTATTCTTCTGCAGGTTTAGATTTAGCACATAAAGGGATGATGTTCAGTAGCAGAAAGGGATGACTGTGATTCTTCCAAACAGGTACCCACTCACTGAATCTGGTGAATAGGAAAGCACCTTCCATTCACAAGTATGCTATTTAACAGAATTAACAGCTGCTTCAGAGCATCCACTGCAAAGACATGCAAGATAAATGTTGCAGACTCTCTTTTCTGGTATGGTTTTAAAAATGGAGGTGTACATTTGACTGAACTGTCTTTCTAGTCCAAGAAGATACCAACAAAAGGAAGAGAAAGAAAAAGCATGAGACATCACCTTGGGTAAAAAGACCTCAAACTGGGAGAAGAGACCCATCATTTGATTTCCTCCGTTTTGTTTGTTAGTTGGCTGGTTGGGTTGGTTTGGTTTCCCAGAAAAAAAGAGATTGTACCTAACATAAATAATCAGAATTAACTAAACAGAATTAAGGTATACTATACTTAATTTCTCCTTCTAACTGAAAGAACCTGTAGAGTACTAGTTTTTCCATCTTTTGAATCAAAAAGATGAACCAGTAGATTTTGCCATCAATTCTTAAGATTTATTAAATCTTAGAAATTTTGCAAAACCAAGTGGATGGAAAACTGTTCCTGGAGCGTAGCTGTCTATGATTCATTGTCAAATTGGCAAGATGTGTACAGTAAGGGGTTTTTTTTTTGTGTGTGTTGGATTGTAGTCTGGGTAACAAAACAAAAATTAAGCAACAGAGGAGAATTTGAAGACTGTAACGGACTACAAACTAAACATCAACAGTATCATTATTACAACAGATATTTTATTTATTCATGTTCCCATTAAAACTGGATCAGGTAGAGGAAAGGAAAGCATAACTTGAGTGTCCAGAGTGAAAAAAATGTTACTATGCAGTACAGGAAGGGCAAAAATTACAGGGACAAAAATTAGGAGAATGGGCAGGAAGTAATTTGTTAATTAGTCTTTTTTATTTTCATTCTGCCTGATCTTGTAATTTTGAGCATTTAATAAAATTTTGTGTCATGTTCTGTTGCTTCTACTCAAGTGAAAATTTCAGTTTATCTGCTGCTTTATTAGTAACAGCAATATTGTAAAAATGATGAAATATGGACAAAGGAAGATGTTAAATGTATTATATTACCATCTCTTGCAAAAAAATCATAAATTTGCAGGCAAAGGATGAGAATAAATTCAGACTGTTTTGCTGAAGCTAACTGCTAGTAAAATATTCATTTAATAAAATTAATGGCTCTTGAAATTTAGATAATGTACATGAAAAAAAATCACCTTTTTTTGCTGCCTTTTAGAAGGTCTATAATGCATTAAAATAAAAATGAAAAGAGCATAATTGATTGCATCTTAAGGTAGCATTTATCCAAGTAATACATTACTTTCATCACACAGGTAGTAGACTATGTACTGTTCCATGACAGTTCTTAACATGATGCAGATTGATTTAATTCTAACACTGGAAGAAAACAGGATACAAGGAAAGATTCACAAGTCAAAAAATTCAGTTAATCAAGTGTTAAAGCAAATGTCTTTATTTCAAGGACATAACAACAGAGGCTCAAAGAAGTGGAAAGTCCATTTTGTAAATGTATGGCAGTCCTCTAACTAACAGAATAGGGTGACGTCAACTTGGTGATAAAGAAAAACACTTGGTGAAAAGAAGCAACACTTGGTGAAAAAGAAGCAAGTCATAATGAACTGAGTGGCTTTTGTTCAAACCTCTGTTGTTTTTAATATTATTACTTAACCTGCCAGGCTAAAAAATGTTACTATGTGTTATTAAAAATGCAGGAGAGAGAGTGTGCAGGTTTGACTTCTTGCTCTTTATGTGTTTGAATATCTGCTGTTTACATAATAAAAACAAGACTGGCTTAACTGGAAGAGTGTTCTCAAATAAATCTTCCGATGACAAAAAGGTGTCCCTTCTGATAAGTATATTCTGCTCTGCAGGCAGAAATGACTAGTCAGTAAAACTGAGACAATATGATACAATTCTTCTTCTGTGGAAAAATTCTGAAAGCTCTTCCAAGAAGTTGAAGCCAGAGTCAATGCAACAACCTCTATGGTGACCAAAGTAATATATTTATCCCTGAATTACGTATACAGTTCAACAAAGGAAAACAAACACATCAGTGGAGGAGAAGAAATGTGAATAAGTGATGAAAAGCCAAACTCACCCGTAAAGCACAAGTATGAACTGTTAAAAATTAGGGTAATACAAATAAATGAGTCATAGTTCCCTTTTAAAAATGGATAAAATTACTGAAAGACCTCATTTATGAAATATTATGCAAATTGTGTACTTTATTTTTCCACAGCATATTTTTTTCCTGAGTTCGAACATCTAATACTAAGGTTACCCCATATTTCCCATTAATGGCTTTACAATGTTATCAGAGCTTAACAAGTTACCCTTAAATTTGATATGCAGAATAACCTCTTCGGAAAGATTTTTTTGGGGAGAAAAAAATGGGCCAAACAGTCTAATAATTTTATAGAATAACTATAGAAAAATAACTTTTCACCATGACTAAAAATGAAGAAAACAAAGCACAAAGGTAGAATACACTTTAGAAGGGACCAGGGGTAGGGTGGAGGGAGGGGCAGGTAAAGATATTTTATATTAGGCACATGCTTCTTCTCAATGTCACAAAACTTCAACCACAACTGAAAATCTATAGAAAAATTATGGGAGTAGCTGGAGAATTAAGTACTCCCCAAAGTGCAATTTCCATACTTTCAGTAGACACGAGGATTTCTGTGAGGTGAGAGGTCAACTCTCTTGAGTGTTGAGCTGTCCTGGACTTTTGCAACTGCCTTGGACTGAGAAGAAAGGGAGGTTGTGCTGCAACAACACTGGAAGCCAAATTGCTGGAAGCTGTGGGCTCACCATTTACTGGCACTGGGCTGAAAGCAAAGATCTCTCTGCCTCTCAAATGCACAAGGGATTAGGGAGAGACAGACTGTGCAGCCTCATGTTATGTTCAGTATGATCTGATGGCAGGATAGGAAAGGCCAGTCCTATTTTCCCCTTCACTACAAATTCTCAGCCCTTCCTTTCTGCCGATCTTGGGTCCTAGGCATTAAGAGCGAGCTGGGCTAGCAAATTGATCTGACAGATCCAAGTTGGAAAGAGCCCAAGGTAAAGCAACTTTAAGTAAGAACTTTGAGAATAAATCCTGCTAAGGATACAAGAGAGATGTAGTTTTTTACTATAAAGAAGGTAGAAATTGACTGCTCTCCATTGTCACTGTGGGAAAGAAAGAAGAAAGCTGCATTATTCACTCCAAAGGAAATTTAAACTGGGATTTAGGGAACACATCTTTATTTTTTAAAACTCTGGCAATGGTGAAATGCTGAAAAAGGATACACAAAGAGCCATCTCCATCAATTAAACGTTTAAAGAACAAATTAGACAACTCTCTGCAGAGAATCTACTTCAGTGTAAATTTTGGATTAGATATCTCTTAATGACGCCTCTGGCATTACACTTCTAAGGATTTTATTTCATATGTATTTGATATCTTAATTTCTAAAATAATTCTATTATTCTGAAAATTTCCTTAACACAGAAAATCCTACAAAAGAAACTGAGTTCCAAAAAGTTTCTTCTATTATCATCAGTTACTTGTGCCTCAGGAGGCACTTACCTGAGATTTTTCCAGCAGCTATGAAGCCTTTCTAGAAATCATGATGCAATTACCTCTATAGTTAGAATACTACAAGACCCGAACCAAGACATTTCTATTCTCAGTTTCTTTAAGGCCTTGACCACTGGAAAAAATAACATGCTTATCTATTAAGCACAGCATCCCTGACAAGAATATGCCTTATGAATGTTAGTGCTTCACAAAATTTTTTTACCACTTAGAAAAAAATCAGAGAAGATGTGAGGAAGCTGTAGATAGTCTATGCTAATAACCTTCAATTGTTAACAACAAAATATACACTTCAGATTAATACATTTGGACCCAGTATGCACTGTTACAGACAGAGAAAGCTGGGGCACGTGGTACCTCATCTAAACACTGAAATGCAGGACTTGCTGTTACGTCAGTGGATCCTTCGTCTCGGCTATAAATTGTTGGAGTCAATTGTTGCTCATTCTCAGTTGCACTGGAACTTTCTTCACCAGCTTGACTCATTGTTTTAAGCTCTAGGAAGTAACAAAAATACCAACATACAGTTAATTAGATTCAGGGATATACATGACTGTGCAAGATAAATGTGTAGTGAAAAAAACACATCAAGGTGTGAGACCCACATTCAAACAACACAAGTCACAATGTGAGCAACTTGGGTAAGCCTCCAGTTACAACTTCATGAAAGACTTATAAGAGGCTGCACTATCTGTCATTCTCTTGAGCATTTTTTAAATCCTCTAATAGTTGGCTATGCTACCATCACATAAAATGTTAGACAACATGCAAACCAATATTTTTTAAAGAACACACTCTGATTAACAGGTTTAGGCTGGAAGAGGCCTCCGGGGTCATCTAGTCCAATCTCCTGCTCAAAGCAGGGCTAACTTCACAACTACATTGACTTGCTTAGGGCTTTGACCAGCCGAGTTTGAAAATCTGTTCTACGGGGCCGTCCAGCCATTGCCTTCAGGTTGGTCTTTATACAGAAAATCTCCAAGTGCTATGAACTTCGTGTTTTCCATAAAACTAACTCAGGAATGTGTTTCCCCTTTTCTCCACTCAATACAAGCCCAATCTTCAGTGTCCCTTGACCTGGTAGGGAGTAATTACATCGAAAAGGAACCACTTCACAGAACACAGAGATCTTCAGGACAAGAACTGCTCTAACTTGTGTGAGTAATATTGTCAAAGTTATTCATGTCTATAAGTCATTTCATGGCCATACTTAAACACAAAAACCAAACTCATCAAATAAACCCTGAAACCATACAAAATGGGAAAACAGGATATAAAATCTGAGAATAGGAGACAGAAAAATACTGGAAAAAGTAATTATTTTGAGACCTCCTAATGTCAGAGCTCCTATGCAGTACTAACATTTCAGTTATGTACCAGGTTACATTTTCAATATGTGACCTCTGTTAAAATAATATGACCCTGAAAAATATCCAAGTGAGCTAATTCAAGAGTAATAATAAAACTCACAGGATTTAAGCTGTATTTTGATTCCTAGTAAGTGTGGGAATATCTTTTTTTCTTACCCAAAAGAAGGAACTTTAAAAGAAGCTAAAAGTCAAATTTCAAAACCATAGTTTGGTATAAGCTTTGTCCTGAAAAAGCTCTTTTTCAAATTAGATAACACAGTCTTTTAATAAATACACAGAGAGAGAAAAAGAATGCTGGAACAAGTAGGGTTATTGGAAAAGATAATTTCTCTACATTTATATTTGAGAAAATCCCATGTTCATAGCTCTGATTTAGGAAAAGAAATTTCTAAGAGACTTGCGCTAGGAACAGTTAGATCAAAGACGTTTGCTAATTGCTTCTGAGCAAGATGAGACCTAATACCATAAAATTACTACAATTTCATGCAACTTCACTTTGTGTTTACATTTTGTGTAAACACTCAAGTCCAGCACTTGAGAATTATGTTCCCAGGCATTTGTCATCAGAACTCTCTGGGGTGTGTGAAAATGCTGAGATGGAAGAGGGAAATGGGATGTGAAATACAAGGGGATACAATGCTCCTGGTACCCTGATAAGGCAGTGATGTCTATCAGTTTGGTACTCATCACTATATCAAATGCCAATTAATAGCTGACAAACCCATCTCTGGCACAACAGTATAGAGTTTTGTATATTCAGAGGGGTTTAAAATACCAACCTTTTGCATGGAGCAGCATGAAGGAAGACAAAACATTTTAGAAGCAAGATCTGAGAGATATGGGATGACCAAAGAGAGGCTACAAGCGTCTTGCAGAGGGAAGAGAGGGAAAGACAGACTTCTGAGGCACTCAGAAATGTTGCCATGACACAGTGAGATGGGGGCACAGAGCATTTGTAGAGCAAAGCATAATGCCAGGTAGAGATGGAGCGTAGATGGAGGAATTCAACAATTCCTTCACAAGTTCACTGAAGTTTTCTGCAGGTGACAGGAATGGACAAATTGGTATCACAGCATTTTAGTTCAAACTTTGGGAGAAAGACGGACAACTTCTGCAAATGTTCACCCCACAACAGTAGGTCTTTCTAGGCTAATTATTATGCAGGATCATTATTATGCAGAGAACATTGTATTGTGCTGTGGGACAAAATCATTATAAAACCCATATCAGCTGCTAAAGATGCAGAACTCACTCCAAATTATTCAGTCTTGACATCATTCAGCCTTTCACATAACACATGAGAGACCTTTCTCCTTTTTAAAAGAGAGCTTTTTATTATAAATCAAAATTAAAACTCTAATGAAATGAAGAAAAAAAATTGAGATTATTTCAGTAGTATATACCATATTTCTCCAATGAAACAGCTGAAGCAATTTTGCATTCCACAACCAGAAAGTTAACAGTTAAGAAAAACATAATTTCTTTTTATAACTGTAGTGGGAAAATGGATACAAATATGTTGTGTTGTTTGCATTCACCTTTTGAAAAGGTACTTGTCTATAAAGGTAATGAAACTTAAACTGAGAAGTTTATGACTTTCTTCAGTGCTGTTTGGAATTCCTTCAGGGACATTTTGACTTTTAGAGAGATTTCAGTGTCTGTATTTGCTTATGGAAAAATAGCAATTCCATGATCCCTCCAGGAGGAGCCAAAACATTGTGAAATAACTGTAAACATCATAGAGGCCAAGAAATAAACTCTGATTACTGTACATAAACATCTATATACATTTATAAACAGAGAGCTATTTTCATCTATAAAGAACTGTTGAATATTTTAGCATATGCATCTTATATTTATGGCTGCTGCTGCTTTATTTGTTCCTCTGAACATATTGGAAGAATTTTGACAGAGGGAAAAGCACTGTGGCAGAAACTCCAAGCAGAACAATGCCAGAATCTGAGAGTTTTATGGGTGTAGGCACTTTTGTCAATATTTGTATGTGAAACACACAGTTGACACCAGTTAAAAATACATTTCCTTGCAGAGCACAGGAGAGTACAAAAGGGTCCTCACCAAGACTCCAGTTTGCTGGGTAGGGAGAGAACAACAAAAAAAAAATCTTCTGAATCTGGAAAGTTTATAATATTATATTGACACAACTATAAATAGATGAGACAGAGAAAACCATTAGACAGCCTTAGCTAGCGTGACAAGCCCTTGTCTCCACTCTGTTGTAAGAGGGGACAGACTGTAACAAAACATATGTATGTTTACAGGACATTAAAATAAGTTTAGCATTCCTCCATTACCAGCTGCATAATTAAATTTAAAATTCAGCTTATACAAAATCTGATTTATAAAGTTCAAAAAGCAAAGTGGAAAAGGTGCACATTTGCAGCATTTGATAAATAAACTGTCTAGTGGAAATAGAAATGAAAACTGGTGTGATTTCTAACTTTACAGAATAGTTCAACAAATATGGATGTTTTCAAACTGCAGAACTGCAAATAATATCACAACCTTGATCCAAGACACAGAATTGCAGAGAATGGGAATTACAAGTCTGTTTTGGAACCTGGGTCAAATCAGGCTGAGAATTGTCTTGTGAAAGAGCTTCAGGACAGCAATAATCAAAGTGTGAACTCAGATTCCCCAAGCTAATTTCAGCATCTTTCCTTAAGCAAACAGCAATGTCCACACACAACTCACTGCAGAATCCAGGTAGGTGACACTTTGCTGCATTGACTCCAGAGTGACAGGTGCAAAAAGTAGTGAAATTTGATTCTGAGCATAAAGAGATGCAGTTCCATGTAGGAGTGCCTGAACCAGACTAATTTAGAAGACACAAAATTTGTAAAACTCTCTGTTGAGGGAAGTACATTTCAAGTGACTGATTACATTAATATATACAGATGAACCCCTTTAAACTTTATTTTAATCCCTTGCATTTGTAGAATTAAAAGCATAGAATCATTTCGTTTGGAACAGATCCTTAAGATCATCCAGTCCAGCTGTTAACCCTGCACTGCCAAGTCCATCATTAAACCACGTCTTTAAGTGCCACACTTGCACACAATTTGGATACCTCCAGGGGTGGTGACTCAACTATTTCCCTGGGAATTCTGTTCCAGTTTCAGTGAAGAAATTTTTGCTAATATCCAATCTAAACCTCAGGATATTTATGTACCTCTTCATGCTACCTCCTTTTGCACATAAATCTTGAAAAATAAAAGTTACCCTGAAAGACAATTGACGTAGCATTTCGCATTAGTTAGAGAAATTTTGTAATGCAGTTGGAACATAAGAACAGTGATATCAGACCAGAAGCTGATCTGGCTCTCCACAGATTCCAGCCAACACTGGATGCCTGGGGAGGGACAGAAGTATCCACCAGTCATGGTGTGGTGATGCTTCCCTGAACCCATCTCCTTTGTCCTTAACTCATGCAAACTTTCAGTTATTGGCAAAATCCAGCGGAGGGGAGATTTTGATTTTACCTCTGCATGACATGAGTAACCAGTGCTTCTTGCTGCTTTTGAATATGGCTCCTTGATGGCTCCTAGTTCTTCTACTGGATTGGCCACTGAATAATCAGAACTTTTCTATGCCATTAGGTTTATTTCTAATGTTGTATCTTTATTTGACAATTTAGGCTGAAGTAGTCAATCTACCTGCTGTCACTGGCATGATAGCCGTTCTCTGCCTTCCATGTCCTTATCATCCTTCTCCAAAATTTTTCCAGTTCTACCATATCCTCTTCAAGGAGAAGGGAAGAGATGAGACCTAGAGATAATATTATTAACATAGGAGTATACTATAGATTTATTCACACAGGGATCCTCTTTTCATCCCCTAAAATTTTATTTTCTAATGCTTCTTTCCAAAAGTTAAAGCAGCAGATCTTCAGTTTTAACTGGGCAAAGCCTGTACTTCAGCATGAAGGGATGTGTCTTTAAATGATAAAGCCATGCCAACATTAAATTGTAATTTAAATTAAAGTCACATCATGTACAATAGGACGTTGTAATACACATGTAAATCAGAATGGATTGTTTGATCAGACTGTACAAGCTCACAGACAACTCTCTGGGGAAGTCAGAGCACGCTGTGTACCTGAACTGCCTAATTTTTGTGAAAAGTTCCACTGTTTACCCTTGTTTTCAAGTCTCTGCTATGTGGGATGGAATCACCCTGAGCCACACACAGACTTTATCTGCTGGAGTTTTAATTAGGTATGGCCAAGATGAGGAGAATCTGAATGGTAAGATTTGCCACTTCCCATTTTGCATGGCTTCCATGAGGAACTTAATCTCCTCAGAAAGTTTCTGGGAGCACAACAAACAAAAAATTCCTGAAATCTGAACTACTCTGTGCTTTGCAGTGCTAAAGTACAGATGGAAAAACAAACAAAACACACTTTCTCTACCCACTGAACCCTAGGCATGCCTTGAGAACTAAAAAGGATCAAGGAAACAGTTCAGAAAAACACCACTATCTTCCTGGGAAGCAAAGTCACATTATTTCTTCAACACAATTATAGCAAATGGGTAAACTTAATCCTGACCAGGCAGACTAAGTTTACACTCCCTGGGTACCTGCAGCAGTCTGTGATTATTCTATGATTAATTTCAAATACAAAATTAGAAAAATGTATTCCTTCTACAGCCTCCCTCGTAGATCCTTTCTATTTAACTCCTCTTCCCTTGAAATCTCTCTCTCATCTTCATCTAAAAGCACCTCTAATCATGCTTTGGCTCAAAACCTATTTGATATCACTTTATAACTTCTAGGGCTTTTTTATCTTTTGCATGAAATATTGAATATTCTTTGACTTACAACAGCACTAATATCTGGTAAAATGGCAAATAAGCATTCTAACTTGCTAAGGAATCATGGAATCATGCAGGTACCTCCGAAGTGGAGCTCTAATTACACCTTCACTTGTAAATTTGATATAGCTTTCTTTTCTTGCAAATGACAAGTCAGAAAATTGAAGATGAAAATAATTCTCGTTGTACTGTTGGAGTGTGCTACGTGCTATACCAGCTGATCCAAACAAAAGCATGAAAGTTAAGCTGAATCAATGTGGCAAAAATATAGATGACATAAGTAAAACACTAAAAACATGAGGTTTCATATGTATGGAGAAAGAACTTCTTCCCAGCAAATATTTTTTATCTGATTTCTCTGCATTTTTAACCATATAAGTACGCTTAGACCATATCTAATGAGAAAGCCCAACACCAACAGTGAAATACAAACACAGCTGAAGTGTCTTGGAATGGTCTCATGAACAAAGTTCTCAGCTACACAAAACCTGAGAGTGTTAAAGATGATGCAGAGCGCAGTTTATTGTGGGTTGTGGGTACTGATAAACCCCTGCCTACACGAGAAGAATCAAGTGCCAAGGCCCTGGAGGAGGAGAGGGCCGTGCCAAAGCAGCACTATCGTTTAAAGGGAGGCAGGAGCCAGGGATAAGGAACAGCAGCACTGGCCCAGGGAGAAAGGGGGGCAGTGGTTAAGCCCGACCTAACTAGAGCAAGAATTCCCTTGGAACAGTCGAACTACAAAGTCATTTGCTGAGCTGGCATCTAGTGGAATCCCTGCACATTGCATCAGACTCCTTGTCTGTAACTGTTTCCCTGACGAACTACCTAACATTCACTTAGTCTTAAGAGTGAGAATTCTGTACTATTCTTTTTCCCTCAAAATCAACTGTTTCTGAAGACCTGAAAAAAATAACTTCCACCCTCCATATGTCGCAAGATATTTCTTGATTCATTTTTGACTTTCTAGAATTCTATTTTTCTATACTAAATTATCATAAGGCAGGCTGGCCCTTTTTGTGTTTCATCTAATGACTTTTTTGAGATTGAACAATGTAAACCAATGAAATACTTTAACTTAACTTTAAGGGCTTTATTGACGAATATGGATCTTTATTAAACTTTCCACGGTTATAATTACCAATGGACCAAAAAGCCAGGGTCATCTTCTTTTCTCTTGGACAGTGAGATGTCATTTCAGGCTCATAAATAACCAGTGCCAGACAGTGATAGAAATGGAAATAAGGCTAATGAGATCGAAGTATTTGATGAGCAAGAATCCTGTTTGCATGATCATTTATGAAAAAGAAGAAAAACAATGCATTGAGTGCAAAAGGGAGGCAATAATTAAATAACATGGCCAGACTTCATTATTTCTTGTGTTGCAATGCTGCTAAGACAATTGAGCTTGCTGTGCATATTTGACTTCTGTTACTGGCAATAAACTACATCTATGGCATGAATGCAGTCCCTGACTGTACCTCATCTGTTGCACACTTGCCCTGCCTCATTTATTTTTAATTGTTACACAATCATAATGGGGGCTATGAACTCAAAAAAAGTCCTTTAAAACTGAATTAAATGATTCCCCACTTGTTTATGAACCCTGTAAGGACAATTGGCCTATCTATCTATTGGCCTATCTCATGGCCTATCTGTACAGAGCTCAGGAAAATATTTATCTGCCTGGCTTTAGAACTGCTAAAAAGCAGTGACAATAAATAATACGTTAACCAAAACTTACTGACAGAGAGCAATTCTGGATCTTCGCACTACCACCTTGGGAAAAAAAAAGAACACCCGGTTTTCCAGCACAGCTGCCAAACTACTTCTTCACCGTCTGACCGAGGATATTTTAGGACAGGTAGCCCCCCTGCCAGGCTGCCACCCAGAGCCCCTGCCGCCTCCCGCGGTCCCACCGCTCTTATCCTGCCTGCTCCCCGCCACTGTCAAATCCCGCGGCGCAGAGGCTGCCGAGCCGGGGAGCCGAGAGGGCTGAAAACAAACCACCACGGCTCTCCCACTGGGAACCAGCTCTTGGCAGCGTCTCTTCCAGCGCGCCGCACCGTGGCCCTCCCGGCCCGGGATACCTCGTGTCCTCACGCACGGCACACGGACCCCGCGCTGGGGGTCGCGCTCAGGAACTCCTCAAACGGGGCTGAGGCGGCGCCGCTGGATTCGCTTCCCGCCTCAACGTCGGAGCGGCGGCTTTCCCTCTCCCGGCCCCGATCCCAATCCCGGCCCCGCTCCGGTCCCCCGGAGCCTCCTCCGGGTCCCCGCCGGGCCCCCACGGCCCGAGCGGCGTCCCCGTCGCTATGGAAACCGGGCCACCGCATCCCGCCCGCCTCCGCTTCTGATTGGCTCTGGTGTCCTTTCCCGTCGCCCAATCGTAGCATACTCTCAGCGATGCCCCGCCCTCCCCGTTCGCCGATAGGCCCGCGGGCGCTGCCGCCGCTCCCCCCGCGCGCTGCAGAACTACAGCTCCCAGCAGCCCCCGCGGCGCGGCCATTGCCCGTTTACCGTCCGCGCCGGGGCCGCTCCCCGCGTGCGGCCGCGTCACGTGAGCGGGCGGGGGTCAGGGCCGTGCCCGGGGAGCGGCTCCGTCCCGGTCCCGTCCGTCCCGTCTGTCCCGAGCGTTCCCGCCGCCGCTCCTGCCCCACCGGCCGCAATGAGGGCGCTCGCCCCGCACTGGGCGGCTCTGGCCGTGCGGGCGGCGGGCGGACGGTGGGCGCCGCCCGTCCCCCCTCGCCGCGGGCGCAGCGGCCCCGGCCCGCCCGGGCCGCGGGAGTGGGCGCTGCCCGTGAGCCCGCGGGGCCGGCTGCGGGTGCGGCTGCCGTGCCAGGTGACCGTCCGCCCGCTGGACCCGCAGCGCTGGCCGGGCGCGGACCGCGTGCTCGTGGCCGTGAGCGGCGGGAGCCCCGCGCCCCGCGGGCGGGAGCGGCAGCGGGAGCCCGTGCGGGTGGAGCACGACGAGGCGCTGGGGCAGGTGGCGATCGTGGCGGACGACGTGGACAGCAAGGCCGCCGTGGACGTGCGGACGCCGGTGAAGTTCGGTGGGTGCGCGGGAGCCCCTCGGGGGCGTTCTCACTGCCGCGGCTGGCTGGGGCCGGTGTGCGGGAAGGGCATCGTGCCCACGCGAATCGGGGCCTTCGGAGCGCCCCGGCTTTTCTGCTCCTTGACTCCGTGGGTGTTTGGATACATGTTTGGGTTGTTTTCGATTTGCGGACCTCTTCGTCGGCAGTAGTTAGCGCTGAAGGTCCCGCTGGTGAGCGGTAGTTACAGCACAGTGTTTTTGTCTGGCACCTGCTGCTCCAGAAAAGGCGTAACCTCGGCCCGGAGGCAGCAATCCATCCTCAGCATGGGCTGTGCACGCGTGCTCTCCAAGGGCTGTTCCCGTTTTTTTTTCTATAGATTTGTGCAAGTAAAAGTGTTCAAAACTAAACCAGAGCTCTGCAGATTGTGCCCATCCCTGTTAGAAGTCTAATTCTATTTAATCTATGGTGCTTTTGTAACTCTAAGATAAAACAACGTTGCAGCTACTTTCTCACCATCAGCACAACTTTTTGTTTTTATTTAAATGAACTCATAACCTAAAATGTTTTTTGGGTAAAACAGGTGCCAAAAAAAACCCCTCAAACAAACAAAATGCCCTTTTGAGTAACAAAGTTTAAAGCTGTCATCAGATCACAAACTCTGTGTCATCTGTGACTTTTGTAGAACATGACACAGCAAAGATATATTCCACCTTTTATCTTATCTTACTCTTCCCCCTTTGTATTTTCTGTGATGTGCTTTTTTTCTTTTGTTTTTTTTTTTTTAGAAGGACCTGAACTGTATATAATTCAAACTGGAGAAGTGCCATGGGTTTGACATAACATCATTCTCACATTTTCCAGTCTTACTCATCCCTGTAATTTACTTTTTTTTTTTTTTTAATACTGTTTATAACTAAAGGGCTGTTTCTTGAATATCTTTATCAAAACATATGGTCTGTTTTGTTATTTTGTAAATAAAATCAGGGGCATCTCACCCTTTCTGCCCTCAGTGTGTTAGAATGGCTGTACTGATTTGTACCACAAGTCCAGCTGCCCACTGTTGGTAGCAGTCAGAAACAGATGTTCAGGGAAGAGTAAGAGCAGAACAAACAAATGATATTTCATTTAAGTATTCCCTTAGCTGTGTTTTCATCACAGGATTTTCAGAGCCTGATGCAGCTCAGCCCCTCAGTGGATCTCTCTTCCTGATGTCCATGTGCACATGTAAACAGTTCCAGAGTGAAAACTTCCTGGTAAACTCCCTGCCTCTTGCCACAGTCCCACAATTCAATTTCCTGCTATTTTATCATTTGAGTATGTGGTATTCCAGGGTCTTCCTGCAGTTCATCAGTGAGTTTTTAACTGGTCTCAATAATTCGGTGTCATTGGTGAAATTTTTCAACCTTGTTATTTTTGCTAACTTCTGAATTGTTGTAGTGTTGAAGGTGGTAGGTAGCTTAAAGCTAAAAGACAATATTGAACTAAGGATATTGTTAAAGACATCTGAAAGTCCAAGTTCATTCTCTTAAACAGATCAGCTGTTACTTCTGTATTCATTGACTCTGTCATTGAACTGTAGCAGGACTTTCTTCTGCAAGAGACTTGAAGATTTGACTCTTCACTAATAATTTTCAGTTACAATCTTATGGCTTTTTTTTTTCCCTTTTCATTCTCTGCTTGGCAAGTGCAAAGATTACTTTGGCTTGTCTGTAGTACACTTGTAGAGTCCATCCCAGAATTACTGAGAATCAAAAAACGTGGTGTTCATTTTTTTACCCTTCAGTTCTCTGGTAGAAGGTGTATCTGCCCACTGTAACTGTTGGTCATTTAATATTTCAGTTTCTCCAGGATCTCTGAGTGACTGTTACAAGTCACTCCAGACTTGGTTACTCTTGGGGGATAGAATTCATTGTGTTAAGATCTGGAGAATCTCAGGCTTCATAAAGAGTTTCAAAGTGGGAATGCTTCCTAAAGATCTCAAAAATGAATCCTAATTAATGGAAAAAATAATTTAGCTTTTGTCCTGTCTTTGAGATTCTTACTGTGTTCTGAATGACAACCAACACTACAGACCATCTTGTGGTCTTTATTCTTGAAACAGTTTTTCTTGGTTTGTAGGTTTCTAAGCTGTTCCACTTGGGTTTGGGGTAAGCTCATGCCATTCAGGTTCCTTGGACAGTGTGTGGATTATTATGCCCTCCCATGAGTTGCTGTTTGTTACTCCATAATTACCATGAGTGCTGTTATCCAAGCGTGTCGGGGGATATCTTTCCTAAAATGTCAAGTTGGTTTTTTTATTCAGTGAAATAGAATTGCTGCTTGCCAGTGAGGTTCTACTTTGTGTCCTTTCCCCTCTGGTTTGTTTTCTGGGTCTTCTGAGTATTATCTTGTGCTTGAGTTGCTCCTCATGTTTATTTAGAAAAGAATTATCCAGTAAATATCATTGCAAAAGCAAAAGATCTTATCCCTTGTAAAAACACATCTCGAAGCAGAAAGGAACTGTTGTTGCTCTGCCAAGACTGGCTTTTCTCTGGCCTGTCTAGGATGTTTGAAGAGAATGTTAACTCTGGCTCTGCTTAGACCTTTTTGTCTGAACTCTTTTTGTCACTTACCTGTAAGAAGCTAAGAAGTTGATGTGAATGTCTTTACAGTGTTCGAGCTTCTGTCTTCATTCTGGAATTTAAGGCATTTTATAACAGCTTTCACAATTTAGGTTGGAGCTTATCCAGGAAGCTCTAAGTCATCTAAAACTCCTTAGAGCCTGAAGAGCATGTGTGGAGGATGCAAGATGCTGAACTTAAGTATGCATTTTAAACCAAAGGCAACATGCAAGCAGCTTAGTAGGGCAAATACTAACAGATCCTCTATTTCTGTTTTAGTGTCTGGTTTTAAGCACTGTTATAGTATTTCAATATCATACGTGATCTGATAATCCTCTGATTCGTTTAACCTTCATAAATACTAGATGTCAATGAATTCTAATCTAACTTATTTGTTTTCCTTCAAGCCTCGTGTATGTGTTATCTGTTTATTCCAGGAAGAGTGTAGGTGCATGGCTGTAATTCTGCAGCACATAGTGAGAGTGCTGTGTCTTGGCATATTGAACTGCATGTGCTAATTAAACCTGAAGATCTTTGATTTCTGGTTAATGTCTGTTGGCTAAGTGCTCAGAAGTAAACTCAGCTGAGGTCTTGTATAACCATAATTTGAGATAATTCTAGTAGTCTAGGGCTGCTGAGTCACTTGAAGATAATTTTTCAGTCTATTTCAAATATTATAGCTTTCAATGCATTCCTTGAGGTTTATGTGGCTAAAGTTGGCTTCAGTCCTCATCTTTGCTAAGGAGGAATCAAACTGGATATTTTCTGGAGTTTTGGCTCTGAAATGGATTGTATCCTGTTCCTCCTTGTAAAAATTTTGTTGTCAGTATTATCCAGCTCTTAGCCTGCTTCTTCATGGAGATGTCTATCACTGCTTCAGGAAGTCTGTGAGACCGGGGAACTCAATCCTTTGTCCACTAATTTTTGCTATATCAAGGCTAGCAAAGTGCTGTGACTCTGCAGAGGATCAAGGTACAAAGTATGTTTCCAGAAATCCCTGGTGTTTCTTAACAGCATGCTCATGAATTTCCAGACTTCTGTGTCTTCTTTTAGCACCCATGTTTGATACAGCTAGGATTACACTACAGTATCAGAAGTTTTTATTAAACTTTTTCTCACAAAAGTTTAAGTAAGTTTGTATCATGGCTAAACTGACTACTCCCAAGCCTTTTCCTCACCCCTTTACCGCTTTTGACGGAAGCAATAAGGGCAAGAGGGTATCGAGCTGATTGAATTCAAAGATTTGCACAAGCAAACAGGGTTTTGGAGACTCTTGTCAGAAAGCAAAATAACAGAAGTCTTGGATGTAGATCTTCCCAAGGACTGCACAATTCTCCAGTGGGGGACTGGAGCAGTTTTAGGCAAGATAGCTTGTCTTTCAAAAATAACATTGCTTTCTTTTTGAACTCTCCAGGTTTTTACTGTGCAAGGGACATTTTGTTTCAAACGTAGGTATTTGGAGAGTGCTTCTGTTTGTGTCTCTCTGGGAACTTTAAACAATCCAGCTGCTCCCTGAGAAGTAAAACCTTATGTAAAAGTTTTGGCTAACCTTCAGAACCTGTAGATCAGCACTGATCAAATTGAAATAGCTCAGATATCACTCAGATATTTCAAGTCTAGTGAAACTGTTTAGGCTTTACCAACATAAAACCTTGTAGAGGTGGCCTTCAAGCATCTGATGATAGTCCACAGTCCACTTAGCCTGGTTTTGTGCTTTTATGTGCCTCAAAGTGTATCATAGAGTTTACTTGAATTAAAGCAATGTAGTTTGACTACAGTCTTCTTCATAGGATCTTTTTCTTGGAACTCTTCTGTGAAGAAGCTAAGAAAATAGTATCTGCAAATAAAGCAACATTCTGGGAATTACCCAGTCCACCTCTTGTAGGCTGCTTTCTTAGGGCATTGTTACTTGTGGACCCAGTCTACATCCTTCACTAAATTTAACCTCTTTGCTTACTGGGGCAATAAAGTAATACACTTGCAGCAAAAATGTTGCATGTTTTAGCTCTCTCCCTTGGGTTTATAGGTTTGTCAGGTGGCAGAACTTTCATTTGTTTGGAGCTCTCAGTCTTTTCATGGTCTTCAGGCTCACTGTCAGCATGGTTCCAACACGTGTCCTGGGCAGCAGTGTTAATCTTCAGGCTCTGCTGGGTCACAGGTCTGACTGGGGAATCTCATGGGGGCAAAAGCTGGTTATGCATGCTCTGATTCTTCTTTTGATATTGCTGGTCACCTTAGTGGGCAGTGGAAGGTGAAGGAAGGACTTTCACACGTGCTTAAGTGAAGGTTTCTTTCCCAGCTAATCTCCTTTTCGTCAGAGAGTTGTGGGGCTCACTATCTCTCTTGGTCTTTCAGTTATGTATCTTGCAGCAAGCACTTTTAATTCCTGTTTTCTTTTTCTCCTTTCTGCCTTCTATCCTTAGAAAAACAAAACCACTTTTTTTCCTCTTCTGCCTTTACCTTTTGCCAGTCATTATGGTGATCGTTAATACAAGTTATTATCAATATAGTCACAATCTGCAAACTTAACATCATTGAACTTCTTCCCAGTTCCTTAGACTCAGGAGTGAGCTCAAGTGGCAGAAGAAATGCTTTTGATGCTTTATTATCTACAAGACCTAGTGATTTTTCTTTGTGGGAGCTTGAACAGTAACAAGGTGAGGCGATTCAGACTGGAGGCAAACATGCTTCTTCATGCCAGGGGAGTAAGTCAGCTTTCCAGAAGGCTGGGGAAGAATGACACATGCAAACGCTTGTATACCTGGGTTTGGGTTGTGCCACTGGCTAGCTGAGCAGCACAGGCCTAAGCAAGGCTTGTGTTTGTGCTGTTGGACCTTATTACTCTGTGTAGTCTCAGACAACCTGCCAGTCTTCCACCCCAAAAACCCATGTCAGGGTGCCCAGATGTTTCAGGAGAATTTCTAACAACTGGTGACTGGGGTAGCTGTGAGGTGGAGTGGAGTTGAAAACGACAAAACTTCACCGAGGAGCCACATCCTGCTGATTCCTTGCCGGAGGTTACAGTCACTGCTGCCTCTTAATGTTCTCTCCTGAAGCTGGAGGGCTTGTACCCAGGCTTATTGAAATTTCGGTGTCGATTGTTGATAGGGACTAGTCATGCAATTGAAAGTGCATGATCAAACTTTGCAAGAAGGTTCTAAAGTAAGAAAGAAGCTGCTTTTTTTCCCCTACTATATATAGTTACTACATAAAGTGATCAAACGCTGTGTTAAAGAGATCTGACTTTCCTCATTCTGTTGCTAATAAAACTCTTTTAATTCTAGATTTGGATATCAAAACATCAGGGACTGGCTGCGTGAAGATTCAGAAAATAGAATGTGACAACTGCAGAATAGAAACGGAGAAGGGGACTAGTGTCTTGCAGTCAATAAAGGTACAGAGAACCCTCCCCCTCTCAGACAGTGTTTGAAAAGGGATTGTGGAGTGGAATATAGTATAAAAATTTAAATACCAGTTTTGGAGATGAGAAGTACTCTGATATTTCTCATTGTAACACTCACAGTAGTGTATAGCACCTCACCTTTAATTATTGCATACAATTATGACACAAAGTCCATGCATGAGTGATAGCCAAAGACAGCACAGTGATAGCAGTAAGCCTGATCTCTGTCCGGCCTGCCCCTCGATGAAAAAAGATACACTGAGATTTCCTGTCTAGAAGGTTAATAGTTATGCCTGCTCAATCAAGACTTTGCAGCATGCTGCTGCTTTCTTCTGTAGTTTTTTTTTTTTAATGATTGATATATCAGTGCTATCGACAAACCCTTTAGGGTACTTCTCAATCAGGAGTTACACTTTACATGTCCAAAATACCTGACTGAAATATATCTGATAAATACTGTATAATATCATAGTCACGACCTTGTTGTTGTTCAAGGTTAAGACTTCAGCATTGCTGACATAAGCTTTTGTAAAACTAATCACAGTTTATCTGAATTATGTGCTATTTGGAATCAAATTGACTTGAAGATTTGGAATTGTACCTGCAGGAATTGATATAAATTCAAAAGAAGGGCATTTCAAATATGGCAATTTCTAAGTTTAAGTTTGGGTGTGGTTTTTTTCTCCTTTCTTTTTTTGATAGGAAAAATCAATATTTTTCTCTGCTGTGGTAAGAGATGATTTTATAATGCACATGGGGGAAACTGAACCTAGGTGGAGACTTAATCTACAACAGAGTTAGGTTTACTTACTCTGCCTTCAGTGAACTACAGGCAACCTGAGCCTTTCAGGTTCTGTGTAAACTGGTCATATCAGTCATATGAAGGTAACGAAATCTAACAAAAAGTTAACAGTGCTATGTGTTGCCTGTTTAAAGCTTTTTTTGGTTAAAAATTACTTTGTACAATAATGACAATAGCAGTGCATAGAAACTACATAATACGAGAAAACAAGGTGGTTTTAACCAGCAATAATAACAGTAATCACAGCCTGCCATCACGTCAAGAATTTTTAATGATGTCATGGAAAAAGTGGATATTGAGGCAAGACTGCCAACTAATATCCTGGGAATTTTGTTTCATATACAATCTGAGATGTGAAAACTCTTGAATTTTAAAAATTGGGTCAGTTCTGCTTTCCTTGAGACTTCAGGTAACAGTGAAATAATATTCTGTATTGAACTGAAAAGAAGGCTGCAAAGTCACCATTTTGAAGCTTTTGTGACCAGCTCCTCCATGTCTCCCTATAGTGCAGATGAGCTTAGTGTTGCTTTTTGTTTCTGTCAGCTTTGAGCCTTGCTTGATTCGAAAGCGGCAAATGTAAAAATTGATTCTTCCTCTGTGTGTGCACCTCTGTGTTTGCACTGAGTTGGTGGCCACGGGAAGCTTCTTTGCTCCCTTAAGCCTCAGGTGTCCCAGAAACCATTTAGAATTTTGAAGTATCAAGAAAGAATGGCAGATTTCAACTGAAATTCTTTTTAAAACAACGGCTTGTTAAATTATAAGGCTTGGGCTTTTTTTTTAACCCAAGTATTCTTTTGTGTTGTGAGTGGTGATTGCTTCTCTTTGTTCTAGTTACTGTGATGGCTTTAACAAACAGTACTAAGGAAGATGTGTTGCCACTCCTGGGTTTTATTGACTCTGAAGTAGTGAGATGAAGGGTTTGAATTAAAATTGCAACCCTATAGGTATTTGCAAGAGTAAACAGCTGTTCAGTTACTGTATCTCTTAGCCATACAGCCAGGCTTTAGTCTCATCTTGTTTTTAAGAAGTACTATAGTTCTAGTAAGGGCATTGTAACTCATTTTTTCTAATACATCTTCAGGAATTATACTCTGTATTTCAATGAAGCAGAATCATTAGTAAGAAACAGAAGTATTAACCTTTAGGGGTTTTCCAAAACTACTAAAACCCTTATAGACTAGATGCTGTGGTGGAGGACAAGACTTGATTCTCCTTTAGGGAATGTGCTTTTGGGAGCAAACTGAAGTGACAGTGCCCTCTCCTGGATGGATTAAAGCTGTTCAATATTGCTTCACCGTCATGCTGTTCACAGACCTCACTGACTAACAAAGCAGGAGACCCTTTCTTTACAGTAGAGAGCAAAGGATCATTGATCAATGAATGACTTTAAATAAAAAAATCTGGTCATGTGGGGATTACCAGCAAACATCTTCCCAACTGCTAATTCTCTTGCCTTGCTACAGACTGGAAGAAGTTGTTTGTGTAACTTGTACCTCGAAAGTTATGCTGCTTTTTGGTAGACTCTAAGATGTCCTTACAAAAGACCTAGAGATATCTTATCTATTTTCCTTTATCATGGATGCTAATGCTTCAACAGAAAAGTTGAGTATTCTGTGTGAGGTTTTTTAATGGATTTTGTCTGGCAGTTTTGGTGCAGTAGGCATTACCCAACCAGTGAGATTTGTTGAGGGTTGCTTTATTGAGATTTTTTTTCAGTGGTGTGGGTTTTTTTTACTTTTTAATTGGCTAAAGTCGAGTTCACCTCTCCCTTTCAAGTCTCTAGGTCAGCTGATGGCAGCAGTAATTGCAAAATACAGTGATGATGTCTAGGTCTTCTTCAGAGTATGAATTATTGACAAATTCTTTATTGAGAAAGCAGTGCTGTTTCTTCTTAAATTTTTTTTTGCTTCTTATCACCGTCTGTCAGCTTAGCAGTGACAAAGAGACCAGAGAGACCTTTGATTTTGTTTGCAGGTTCAGCAATTACTTCTGACTCTGTGACTGTGGCAGTGATAACAAGAGTTTCCAGGCATCTCACACGTGTTCAGTGGAAGACACTGAGTTCCCTGTTTCTTCCACTGCTCCTTCTTTTAACAAATAGTGAGTGAATGTCTATCTAGTTAAAACAACAATGACAACAAAAAACCCCACTACAACCACCCACCTGTATTGAAAATCAAGGGGAAGGGTGACTTGTTTTGAGTTTGACTCCACTGGAAAAGTAGAAAGCATGTAGTGATAGGACAAGGAGGAATGGCCTCAAAATGAAAAAGAGTAGGCTTACATTAGATATTAGAAAATAATCCTTTACTGTGAGGGTGGTGAGACACCAGAACAGGTTACCCAGAGAAGCTGTGGATGCTCCATCCCTGGAACTGTTCAAGGCCAGGTTGGATGGGGCTTTGTGCAACCTGGTCCACTGGAAGGTGTCCCTGCCCACAGCAGGGGTGTTGGAATGAGCTGATCTTGAAGTTCCACCCAACCCAAACCATTCTGTGATTCTATGCAATAAACAGCACATTTGGCAATCACTTGAGAAGAAACTTTCACGGTAAAATGGAAATTTGTCATCCAAGGTGGTTAATGTGTCAACTTGAAACATGAGAACTTGTTTTTTAAATACAGTTGTCCTAAGTGTGTGATTTTTTTTTTTAACCTTTTTCAGAGCCATAAAATTGATATACGGACAAATGGTGGCAAAGTCATTGGTCTTGGAACACTTTATGGAAATACAGATATTTGTGCAACAGAGAAGGGGGTAAGTAGGACGTAAAACTCTCTGCAGTGGCTTATTCAGTTTGTCTCTTACAAAATTACTGAATTTGAGGAATGTGCTAAAGAATATATAATGACCCTCACTGGTTTGTTATTTCACTATTTCTTACATCTTTCTGCTAAATTATCTTATGCTTGATTTGGATAAATAGACAGGCTCCACAGACAGAACAGGAATAAGCACGTGATCGTTCCCTCAGCACAGAGGTTGTGCTGACTGATACAACCCATCAGCTTTAATTATTGAGACCCTCACAACACTCCTAAACTTTCTCCTTGGTTGATATCCAGGCACTTGGATTCTACTGTAGGCCCAGGATTTATTTTAGTGTCTCATGAATAGTGTCTTGATATTTGTACATGCTGTACACTTCCAGCATTATGTGGTGGTAAGAATGGAAGAGTAGAAGGTTTTGCAGATTTCTTTGGAACTGAGGAAATATAATCACATCTTGCTCTGAGATGAAGTGTGAAGAATCTCAAAGAGAAAAGTTTTGTAGAGAAGTAAGTAGCTTGCTTTTTTTCAGTAGGTGGCAGTGTGAGACAAACCAAGCTACTGTAATCTGGTTTTGTTTCTTGATATAAGTAGTCCATTCTCCTTTATTTAAAATAACATAGAGCTAAACTCCCTTACATAATGCTACAGTTCTCACACCCAGTGTTGTTTTGAGGCTCAACTTGAATGTTTAGGTATCATAATGTCCATGCAGCTGGTTGCATTAGGGATCATTAGATCTGAAGCATTGCTGCATGAACATGCAGAGCTGAGCCAAGTCTGGAAGCAGCTTGGATGTGTGCTCTGTCAGAATCAGTAGGTATCCTTTGAACCAACAGTACTGGGAAGAATCAGGAAGAGTGTGGGTAACTCCCCCTTGCCAAGGATATGTTTGAGACCAACCTATTAAGTTCTAGGCATCCAAAATCACCTCTGTGAAGTGCCATTTGGCATTGTTGTACACCCTGTACCTTGGGTTCTGAGATCATATGCTCACTTAACATGGTGCCAGCTGTGAGCTGTTCTTAATGTCCTGCTGTAAACTAAGCAACTTGCCATCGGATTTTCCAGAAACTGTCAGTGTTAAATTATTTGTGTTTCCTTGTAGTGAGTGCTAAACTGCCTTTTATGCAATAAATGTAATAACTAAATTTGTATCTCTGTGAAAATATAATTCATGAAATTGTTTTGCTCTGAGCCTTCAAATGCTTTTAAAAAATTTTACTCTTTTCAGAGTCCTTCTGAAACAAAAAAACTACATACAAATTAAGTGTTTCTTTGTGATCGTTACAGACTACAGTATTTCTGTAGTCTGTAATATTGCTATAAGTTTCTTCCTGTTGTAAAGTTGCAGTAACTTGAGTGGAGTAAGGCATTTTAACAGGAATTCATAGTTATGGAACAATTCTTCAGCTCATGTTATTGAACTAACTAAAAACTTTGCAGTGTAGTTAAGAAGGACTGAGATTTCTTTTCTCAGTTGGCCACTTCTGTTAATAATCAGTCAGTGCTGTGTCTCCTGTGTGTGTTTGCATGAGATGTTTCCTCCATCAGTTGCAGTCATCGCTATGTAGTTATGGCTCTGTCAGCATTTCCAGCCCCCTGCTGGAGGTGGACAGGGGGAGGATGTGGTAAAAGGCACTAAACACTTGAGAAACTGAGAATATTTTTGAGGGGGGAAACTGGAGAATATCCCAGTAAGATGAGCAAGGATAGTACAAAAAGGAGGGCCAAGAGCAGGAATATGTATGTATATGTCTTATTTATGTCTTTTTAACATAGCAAGATGGTAGTTTTCATCTTGAAAATGTGTTCAGGTGCAAAGACATTGTCAGTCTGATTTACAAGGAGAGACTGACCTTTTTTCTTTAAAGAGTAAGAAACTAAGTGGGCCCTTGCAGCTCAGAATATCCTGTGATAATAAGGGGAGGAATGTTAACCTGAGCATGTGGTCAGTCTCAGTAACTGTAACCCTCAAGGCTCTGCTCTAAAGGGAAGGAATTTCTCCAGAAAACCTGGTGGTTCAATGGACAAAAATAATGAGACTTGTTTGACTGAGGAGTCATTAGCTAATCTGTGCCATGGGGGCTTTTCTAAAACTCTTATTTATCAGTGCCAGCCATCTATGTTCTTCTCAAAATCCAAAAGAGTTAAAGAATTTGAGACTGAAAATATATTTACTCTCAGGAAAAAGCAATGCTATTTTTTTCCATACTTTCCCCATCAAAAAATGCTTTTTTAGTCTTATACTTGATCAGTCTGACTTCCCTCTTCCCTCACCTCCCTTCAGCTTTGTGTTATTCTGAAACAAATACTCATGATATTAGTAAGTTTTGTGTTATTGTTTATAGTAGCTTTTTATCCGGAATCAAAACATTACTGTACATTTTTAAGAAAAGCAGTTGAGACTGGTAAAGAAAATGTGTTGGTATGTGAAATTGTTTATAATAAAGCTCTTAATTTTTAAATAAGATGATGTATCTTAATAGAGTCAAAACTTGCATTCTTTAGTAACACATGTAGCTTTTTGAACTTCCCTTTGCCTGTTTGGGAATGCCACAAGGCAGACAGTTTGTACCCAAACTATGCAGATATTTTTTTTATTCCTCCCCCTTAAAGAGAGGCACACTTTGTTTTCATTGTGCTGATAGCAATGATGGCCCTGCTAAAATTGGAAATGTTCTTTGCAAGTCATTTAAGTCTCTTTAGAGCAGGTTTAGATCGTAGAGACTAAAATGATAGTGGCTTTTCTTTTACTTGTTGCTGTGTCCGTGTGTCACAGCAGGTTTGCATTTGACAATCCGGGGGGAGGGGGTAGTGGAGTAGTTTAGGGGAAACGTACTGAGGACATGTTTAAGGTCTCTGCTTATTAGGGTTTTGTTAGAAGCATTGCAAGATGAAAAGCTGAATTGCTGTCCCTTTCAGTATTGACAAATTATGCCTTAATATCATTGGGTTTTGTTTACCGTTGATGCTGCTTAGAACTATGGTACATAATCTAAGCAATACCTGCAGAGATTGTAAATATTGACTGTCAAGTATCTCTAATTCTAGCACAGCATTTTAGTTTTCTTAAAGGTTGATATATCTTGTTACATTCTTGGAGACCTAATTTGTGTTGTAGCATCGTGGCAAAAGTCTTAAGACAATAGTCCATTCTGTAATCTTACGGCTAAAGGTGTAAAGACAGCATAAAGCTCAGCAGGTATGGACTGGTAAGGCCACAGTATAATTTGGCTGTCATATCATCACCATCCTCTTCAGCTCACTTTTAGGGACACAATACAGCATTGAGTTTGTGCAACACTAGTGGCTGTTTTTCAGAATAGCTTTTGCTTCATCCGTAGCTTATAATTTATATAATGTAACACTGGAAGGGATAGCAGACTTATTACTTTATATTAACTTTTTTTCCACAGGGTGGCAATGCTAAAATGACAAGAAGGATTCAGAGATAATTTGAGTAAGCCACAGTTTGATCTAGAAGGCTGTGTATCATTTCCTGTAATGAATAAGGATTTTGTGCAGTTCACTGAAAGTTTGCATAAGCAAAATAAAACCAAATTGAATAGGGGTAAAGTATGAACTATTGTGTGTCTCTATCATAGATCAAATTTAACTGAGAAAGAATAGACTTAAATTTCACATGGTTGTTGCATAAGCATGTGAATTGTTCTGGGTTTGTTCAAATAGGTTTACGTTATATCAGGACTTACCACTATCTTTACATAGATAATCTTATCTATTGCCTTTTATTTACCAAATCCATAGTGCAACTTTTGAAATTCTATCCTTTCTCTCCATTTCTGTTGAAAAGAAGTAGAAATGGAGCTCTTATCCCTAGTTTTTCAAGGCTTTGTATGTCTTGAGGCTTAAGTCCAAGAACAGAAGCCTGAGTAACCAAGGTAATATGAACATTTATACTGAGAAAAGGAGCAGCTGTGGCTATTTTTACCAAACCTTCACCAGAGCCACATCTACAAAGTTAGTTGAAAATCTTCATAAATAGCTGTATGTAACAAAGACAGTTTGGATGTTTCAGTGGCAGAAAGCTCATCACCAATGCTCCAAGTATCATAATGCTGTATGAATGTTGAGTCTTCATTATTGAATTATATTCATTATCCTTTTCTTACTTCTCAAAATTAAGTGTTTTCACTTTTAAAAATTAAATCAAGGGGTGTTTTTGTCCATTTATGACTAGTTGGGTTCTTCACCTGAATGATAGATGTGATAACTCATAGGAATGTCGTAAAGAGTCATTTGTTCTTTGGTCAGAGCTCTTGGATGAAAAGGATTTTTGTTTTGTCTTCTGTAGCTTTTAACTAAAAACTTGATTCTATTAATTCTGCACCAACAACTGCCTTCCAGTTGTTTTGTGTCTTAATAGTGTTACTTTCCCTCTGCCTTTTCAAACTGTGATGACAAGTTTTCCATTATGTTTATTTAAGTTTATTTCTCTTAGAGTGTGAATATAGAGAAGCTGCAAGGGACAACCATCAACATATCTACTGAAGATGGGCTGCTGAAAACTAAGTATCTCTATGCAGAATCATCATCTCTCTCTTCAGTAACTGGTGATATTATGCTGGGAAGTGTTCATGGTAAGAAGGAAAATCAGTCACAAATTTAGCTACTTTGAAGGTGTTCATGATGTTCACAGTAACAAATGGACTTATGCAATAGACTATCACTAAATCATAAAGTGTATGAACAAAACAACTCTATCTGTGTTAAAGACTGAATTGACTTTTGCCACCTAGCAGACTGTATTTATTTTTAAAAACAATTTTATAAGCACACTTGTGAACAGCAAAAAGTTTGTATTGTGGGAAAGAAATGCCTCATGTATTAATAACATTGAAATATTTTAAAATTCAACAATGAAAATTATACTAAAAGTTGTAAAGAGACTTCTCTCCCTTTCCCCATCCTTTATTTTCTTCATAGGAGAATCAAATCTTAGAGGATCTACTAAGAACTATCATAAAAGGCAATAGTAATTAGAAGCTTTTAGCAGAAATAGTCTCTGTGTGTGCTGGCACCTTAGATTATTAATGGAGTGGTGGCAGTTTCTGTTCTTTGAGTGGGGAAGAAGTCTCTAATCCATCCACCCTTTAATGTCCTTCACCTAGAACTGACACTAACTACAGTCTTTTATTTAAACAGCAGTTGAGATTCAAATGTCGTGTGGTTTTCTAATTAAACAAAACTCCCACTGGATTCTGACTGTGCTGTAATGTGCTTGTGGTGATTTAACATTGAGTTAAACAAATTGGAGAATGTACAAAGAGTGAAAATTACTCAGCTCTGTCTGAGTTCCAGATTTTCAGCTATATGCCTCATGAACAATTCAATTTCTTAGCAATTTTATGTTGTCATCTTGCTTGAGGAATTAATTTTGTCTCTTCCTTAAAGGAGCAACTGCTCTGATCATTTATAATAAATGTAAGAATTGTTTCTAAACCTGTTAGGTAAAGTTTGTTTTGGTATGCATAGGCAGAAATAAATGGCTTTTTTTCCTTGTTATTGTATTTTTCTGACATGTAGACTGTATTGTTGTACTGTGACCAGTTTGTGAGCATGTTCATCCCTCTGTGAACATCCAAATGTTTATTTTTATATTCTTAGTACAAAAATGAAATCATAACTGCTGTAGCTACTGACTTGCTTTTGTAGTAACGCTTCATTGTCATTTAGCTGAAGAAGCATGTGAAACCAGATAGAATTGTATCCAAATTATACAGACATTTCTTCTTGCTGCATCAACATGAGAAGAATGTCTTTTTTTTCTCTGTAACCTCCCATTAGGTAGCTGGAGAGCACAAGAAGATTCCTCCTCAGCCTTCTCTTTTTAAAGCAAAACAAACCCAGCTCTCTGATCATCTGTAGGATGGTCTGGGCCCTTCATCTTCTCAGTGCTCTTCTCTGGCCTCAGTTAAGTACATCAGTGTCTTCCTTGACTGGGAAGCCCAAACTTGGACACAGTGTTCTAAATGCAGTCTCACAGGAGGGCTTTCCTTGCTGTCTGTATTCCTGGTCATCCAGCTCAGTGTGCAGCTGACTGTCTTCACTGGCTCCTACTGGAGTTGGTGTCCATCAAGATGCCCAAGTCCTTAACTGCAAAGCTTCCTTGCAAACAGTCAGCACTCAGTTTTTGCTGCTTTGCATCAGTAAAGGCAGTGCAGTGCAATGCTTGAGCTTGGCATTCTATAATCCCTCCTGAAAAAATACCTCTCGATATACCAGAGTGTGTTCCATAAATTTCAGCTCCGTTTCTGGATTTCACTGGATATAAAGTGGAATTGTAGAAATTAGTTTTATTTTCATTCCTATTTAGGTGCTTCTGATGCAAATTCAAAGTGCGAAGTCAAAGTGGTAAAAAGCTGAATAATGGTTTTTCCTTTTTTTGTACATCAGAATAATCCTGCCCCCTTGACAGCCTCCAGTACAAATTGAAGGAGTGGAAATAACACACTGTAAAATGTTGCCTTTATTTATATCCCAAAAGTCATCTTTTGCCCTGGGTCCTATACTGATCCTGACTTGCAATACTGTAGTTTGAAGTTGTACAGTGTTCATGGAGAGGCAAAGCTTGTAGATGATGGAAAATGTAACTATTTCTTCAGAAGCAACAAAAAGCCAAAACACTAAACCACTGTCCTCAAGATTCTGCTAAAACAATTACATATTGTACGTCATAGTATTGCACCACAATGCTGAAGTCAGTTGGTTTTAATAATCAAACTAGTCATTACCTCTACTCAGGTCTTTCTCTCTTTGCCCGTGGTGTGCCCAAGAAATACTAAGTTTAGTGTTGGTCTTCATAGAACAATTATGTGACCAAAAGTGCAGTTCTGTGCACTGTCTGTAGACAGTGCAGGTCACAACACAGCAGGACATTCCTGTCTGCTTTAAAGCCAGCTTTTGTTCTAGCTAAATGTTTGAAGTGAGATTTTCACACTAACATTGTCGAACATGAGTTGTATCTGCCATTTGAGTCTGTGGTTAATAGGAGTTTGATTTCTCCATGTTTAATGTTTTTCAAGGACATGCTTGTCAAAATGGAAAATAAAACCCCCTGAGAAACAAAGAACAGTAATAACACTGTTCTAAGGATTCTCTACCTTCAGCTGCATGAGAGTTGCTGGCTGACAAAACCCTAGGTCTTGTTGTAGGTTGTAGAAAACTAAGTACTATCATGATAAAATGGGGAAAAGGGTGGGATAACTATAGCATACCTTCTAAAAACAGCAAAGAGTAAAGCCAAACATACTTCAAGTTTGTTGAAAAATGCTTTTCTTTCTGCTCTGATTTTCAGAACCCATAAGTATTTTGTATGGTGTGTGTGCTTGAAAAGATAAATTTAAGATTGTTGATGATAGGCTGCTTTGCTAGCTTTTGGCCCATGAACCACTAAGAAAAATACAGGTCATATACAGTGGAATGCACTCAGCCCTAATGGTTGTTTACTACTGTGTAATTACAGAAAATAGGGCAGAGCTTGATCCATGTGCAATTTGGAAAGATCTGAAAATTGTGAATCCTGTATATTACTAAATCAGACTTGATTACTGTGATCAACCTTATTCTTCACTTTGTCATCCTCTTGGGATGACATATTGTGGTTTAGTTTTTATATTAAAGCATTTTCTGAGAGACATTTGTACATGGAACTGTGGAATCTTCTACAATTTAGTTCGACTGTTAGTGGTATAGATGGCTTTTCTGTTACGAGGTGTATCTGTCCTCCTTCTGGCTTCTCTTGATCATACAGGTAGAGGGGAAGAACATTCTGAAACTAAGGCTGAAACATCAGTGCCTGCTCAAAGTTATGCAAGTTCAGTAGAAGACCCTTCTACATTTTTGTGCCTTTACACACTTTTGTTTGATGTTCTTTAGTTTGTCCAACGTACTCAGACCTCACTGAAGTCAATGGAAAGCATTGATTGTGGGTTGTCATGCACATAAGTTTGGAGAGAGTAGACTTTGAAGATAGAGCACAAAATTTCCTCTGGGAGAGATGGGGTATACCTACATAAAAGAAGGAAAATAGAAACTGTTTATATTCTTTATCCTATTGAATTACTTAAATGATCCATAGTGCTGCTGCAGGCATCAGAGCAACTGAAAAAAACCCCAACACCCCAAATAAAGTAAGGAAATACTGTGCATTAGCCTTGCAATGCCTCTCTGCTTGCTTAAATCCCTCACATCCAGGCTGTCCCTAGCTTTACTCAGTGTTTTCTTGGCTGGAATCACTTTGTTGTTACCCACATGTTATGAGATTTTTGTTTGTAAAGCAATAATGTAGAAAATATGAATATGTTTAAGTAATATTTTTAACCTTTTTTCCCATTTTCTTTTCATGATAGGTAACACCACCCTTGAGACCAAAACAGGGAGTATCACAGTAGGTACGTTTCACCATCTGTCTTATCTCTTGCTCTTCCCTTCTCCTTTCTAAAAGCTAAATATTCACAGGGAAACTAAAAAGGAGGTGATTTGTCACAAATGGTTTTGCCCATTTACCCTTTTCTTTTCAGGAGTAGCCCTGGTAGCTGTGTAGCTGAAGGAGATCCTTTCCAAACTTTGCTGTCAGCCTTTTGTGGTTGGTTTGTCTCGCACTTTTGACACCCAATACTCTTCTGGGCATTGCACAAGTTAAACTGAGTCTAGGTATCACCTTTTAGATTAAGTGGAATAAAAAGACATAAGAAAACACTAAGTGTACATCAGTTGCAGTTGTGCTTTTAACTTAGTTTTCTATCTTACATTTGTTGATATAAATTTTTAGCTATGTTTAATTTTTATATCAGGAAGTAATAATCATTGATGTATTACATGTTCAAGGGCTGGGGGGGGGAAGGCTTGTGACCCTTTCAGCATTTCCAAACTATTACACTAATGGTTTTCCCTTCAGAAGTGAAAATGGCTCATGAGCTTTCTTTTGCAAATTTGGACATTTATATGACAGGATAACTCAGAGTTATCAATTATGCAATATGTTCTATCAGTGTATTTTATAGCACATAAACGCAAAATGAGAAACTGAAATTCTGGTTATTGCTATGGCAGAAAATTGAAGTAACATATTGGTAGACAAGGCTCGGTGTCTTCTGAATGTCTGTACAAAGATTCCCCCTTCTGTCAGTGAACTTGGTTATGGGCCCAAATCTCCATGACTTCTGCTGATGTTGTTAACTGTAGTCCCTCACTAAACATTGTTCAGGGACAATCTGTACCGTTACAACTCTTCTTGTGTTTCTAAGCAACCTGTATTAACATTCCTGGGGAGTGAATGCAATTCACATTCTTATGAATTAGTCGTTAAACCACAGAATTAACTCGAGCTTGACAGTCTGTTTTTCCTTCTCTTAAATAAACTCATGGAGTAAGAAGTGTGGTTAAATAAAGGCTTCTTAACACAGGAGGTAGCTTTTTCCATCAAAACAGATGATGACTGTTTTCCTTAACTAACCAGGTTCAACTTAAACATTAAGACACATCTGACAGTTGGAAGAAACCTTATTTTTCAGATTTCAATTCTGAAAGCATTAGTTAGACTTAATCTTTTACTAAAGCATTAAACATCCTTTAGTATTTTTATGGATTTTTTTTCAAAGGTAAAAGACTTCTAAGGTCCAGGGGGTCCAACTCTAAAAATGTGAGAAAGAAAATATAAAGCTTCAAGTGAAAAATTTTTGTGCATGAGAAATTTACACCCCAAGATAGCTTGTTGAATTGCCAGAGACCTAACAGGGATTTGCTGATAGAAACAGGAACAACTTAGATCTTTCAGCTTCCTTGGTTGGGTTAGGTTGTAGTTATCTATTTCACCAGAGGCAAGATTTTATCAGTTGCATGAAAAAATGCACTAATTTCTAGTTTTTTGTGAATGTGTCCATGTTTTTGAGAGATTTATTTACAAGTCAGACTTGAGTTAAGAATACTGGACTTTTTTTCAAAATATTTTTGGGAAATTACAAGTGACTATTTACAGTTTCTTATTGTTGCATAATTTCACATTAAAACAGGAAATCAGCGCTGTTGTCTTTCATTCCCTTTAATTTTCTGCTTTTAGCTATTTAACAAGTAGTTTGATTTGGGGATTTATTTTTATATGACTTTGTGTAAATCTATTTTTACTTTTTAAAAATATTATCTAAAATTCAGTCTGATTTTAATCATCCAGCATGTGGCAGTATTTCACACTGACATCATTAAATTAGGAAAGTAGGGATTATTTCTTTTTTTTCTGTATTGTGAGCATTGTTGGTCACTGACAAATTATTTTCCGACCCTATACTAGAAACTTCCTACTTTTAACAAATGTTTGATGGGTTTTGAATAACTTTTTAATATCAAACAACCAGACCTATTTTTACTTCTAGTTTGTTACTACTTAATTCAGTAATAATTACCTGAATTATCTTAGGAAGTAATGGAGTTGGAGTACTTTTTTTTTTTTAGAACTAGCTTAATCTTTTACATTTCTATTCAGGAAATTCATAGGAATACTCAAGTTGGAAGAGGCAGCAGGAAGTTGCAGAATTGTAGAGTGGTTGAGGTTGGAAGACACTTGTGGGGGTCATCTTGTCCTGCCCCCGGCTCACACAGTGTCTGGTCTTTAACCTCAACCTCCTGCTCAAAGCCAGGCCAGCTGTGAGGGCCACGAGCTCAAGGCTTTATCCTGTGCTCTTGAAAACCTCCAAGGATGCAGATTTTACAGCCCCTTTGGGAAAACTCTGCCACTGCTTGATTGGCCTCAGGGTGAAAAAGATTCTCCTATCCAGACAGCAACTCTTTCTTCAGCTTCTGTCTGTTGTGCCCTCATCATGCACCTCTCTGAGGAGCCCATCTTTGCTGTCCTGATCACCTCCTCAGACACATGGGGGCTGCTGTCAGGGGCTGCAGCAGCCTCTTCTCCCTGCCCAGCCTGCCCTCAGCCTCTCCTGTGGGGAAGGTATTCCATGCCCTGACTATGCTGATGCTTCCCCCTGAAGTTACTGAGCTCCAACACTGGTTGCTGCATTCTGGGTGTGGTGTAATAAGTGTGGAGTAGAGGGAGATAATCCCTTCCCTTTATACACTGGCCGTGCTCCAGATAACACTGCCAAGTTGCACTTATTTTCTGCCAGGGCACACCACTGGCTCACATTCAGTCCTGGCTAGAATTGGCTTATTTCTCAATGTTATTGGTATGGTCTGATTGTGTATTCTCTACTCTGCTGCCAAGCTAAGTGTTCCCCTTCCAGCTCAAAAGACCCATTGCTTTTTCTTATTGAAGTACTTGTGTTTAACCCAATTATGCATTGAAGAAATTAGTGTTCTGTGTTTGGTATAGTTAGAAATTATAAAACTTATGGTGGTTGTTTCATTTCAGAGGAGAGAAAACAACCTTAACCAGCTTATGGCTGCAAGGATTACTATGGAAAGGACAACTCTGTATTAAGCTCACAGAAATTCTAATTATTTTTTTACAAATACATCAGTGTCAATGGGTCTTACTCTGCTAATTTCATTCTTTCATAACCCACTCTAGACAACCTGAAGGCTTCAGTGACTTGCTGTGATGTTCACTGTCTTAAATCAACCAAAACCCAACAAATAAGAACATTTTAACTTTCTCAAAGATAAACCTTTCAGTAAAGTCCTGACGTGAAAGTGAACTGAGGTGTCCCGAGATCCTGCATAGTGATCAGTCATCCTAAGACAGTTCCCTAGTACAGGATCATAGAATGGTGAGGCTTGGAAGGGACCTTAAAAGTCATCTTGTCCCACCCATTCCACCCATCCCCATGGGCAGGGACACTTCCCACCAGCCCAGGTTGCTCAAGGCCTAATCCAGCCTGGCCCTGAACACTGCCAGGGTTGAGGCATCCACAACTTTCCTTGCCAACTGTTCCAGTATCTTACCACCCTCATGGTAAAGTACTGAGACAAAATGTCAGTTTTATTTCAAGAAGGCAATCAATTATGGGGGAAAAATGCAGTATTTAAGACCGTTTTGGGTAACTGGAAAATAAAATAAACAACTTCATGTGTTTAGAAGTAGTACTGCATCTGTGAGAGTTGTCTTGAGTTATTTGCTAAGTAATCTAGGGAATTTTAAAATTAAGACCCTCATTTCTGAATTCCATTAAAAAAAATTCTGTGCTTCATAAAGTACAGCTCTTAAGTAGTTTAAAAAAATAAATCCATGTGCACACTTGTCTCTTAATAGCAGTTATTTCTGTTGATCTCATCTGTGCCATCTGCTCAAGTATGTTAATGCTCTGGCTGTCATTTTAAGTGTCCTTCATCTTCCAACCCTGTGTCTCAGAAGTTGGTCTCCTCTGTTCTGCTGATGTATTTTACCTGTAATTTTTCTCCCGGTTGTTTCCATGCTTTCTTCCACACTGTGCTATACTAAGGGTGCTGCTTTCCAGGTAGGTTGGAGTCATCTCCAAAAGTCAGATGCTTTTTCTTATCCCTCGGGTTTCAGGTCATGAAAAATGGAAGTCCATCATGAGTTAATATCTACAAAGTTAGTACTTGATTTAATCATCAGTCTTTGTTTCCATGTTCCCTTTCCCTCTCTTTGTGTCCATTTGAATGTAGATTATATGGCATTCTAGACAGAGCTTTTGTCCTGGTGAAACTGCTCCTAAAAATTGGAGCAAATAGAGAAAGTAGCTGCTGCCTGAGTACAACAGTATTTTCCTTGCAGCTGAAAAGAATAAACTATTTTTCTTCTGTATGTGTTCTATTAGCAAGGAACAGTTTTGGTGATGTTACATTATATATGTTTTACAGCATCTCATATCACGGTGCTGAAGATTCTGCATGTTGTTACAGTAGTTCTTGAGTTTATGTTGTATTTGCAGGAATATTTAGGGTTTTCTTTCCTCTTGGAATAGGACAGACTATTTCAGTTTGAAGGGATCTATGAGGATCATCCAGTCCAGCTGCCTGACCAAAACCTAACATGTGTTGTTAAGGGCATTTTGCAAATGCCTCTAAAATGCTGACAGGTTTGGGGCATCGACCACCTCTCTAGGAAGCCTCTTCCAGTGTTTGACCACTCCCTCCATAAAGAAATGCTTCCTCATGTCCAGTGTGACCCTGCTCTGGCTCACCTTTGAACCATTCCTATGCATCCTTTCACTCGATACCAGGGAGAAGAGCTCAGCACCTCCTTCTCCATGTCCCCTCCTCGGGAAGCTGTAGACAGCAATAGGTCACCCCTCAGCCTCCTTTTCTTCAAACTAGACAAGCCAGATAGTTTGGTTGTGGGTTTTGGTGTGGTTTTTTTTTTTAACTGATTAAGTTATCCAGAAGAGACTATGGCCTTTAAAACCAGTGGATATAACTTTAAAATCAAGACAGCAAATACATCATTTAGAGGTAAGAGAGTATTCTGGACAACTTAGTTAGCAGAGGAATTGTTTTCATGAGAGATTTCTTTGCTTTGTGTGTCACATCGTTTGTTTTGCCAGGTCTGCATGGCGACTGTGGTCAGGACTGATAAGGATTTTTCAGTATTATGTTCAAATAGTCTATTTAGTGAATACATTTCAGTTTCTCACGATATTTTTAATGCGACAGTTTTAGAGCAACGAACTTAAAGAAGAAAACTTGCCAGTCTTGTATCAATAAGCAATAAGCAGGAATTAAATGGTCATCACACTTCAGATATATTGGGAATTTTATACTTTTTCCAATCTTTAATGAAATCATAATAAATATTTTGGTTTTTCCTATTGAGATCGATTTTGTCACTGATTTTAGCATGAACAAGGTCCCATTAGGAAAACTATCTTTTTGCTTAGATTTAAGGAAAGGTCACTTGTGTTTAATCCTTTGGTCAGTATTTGGTGGATAAAATGAAGGAAGTGATACTGAAAGTTGCCTTTGTAGGCCTCTCTCTGATCTTTATTGTGTGGTCTTTCTGAAGTTACGTCACTTAGGTCTTGTTCTTCAAACTGTATTTATTTTTCATAAAACTTAACAAGGACTTTGTCAAGGACATCTTGCTTCACTGTGCCTTTTTTTTTTCCTTTTTCTTTCTAGTACTAGTGAATTAAATAGCTTTAGCTGCTCAAGAGTGACCATCTGTTCCATTTCCAGTAGAAGGATTTGTCCTTGTTTTTCCCCTTGAACTGTCAGTCCTTGGCAAACTCTGAATTCAAACTATACACTTTTTCCTTGTTTTTACCTTTAATTATTCACATTGATCTCAGCTAAAACTGGGTATATATTTAAAAATAAATTGCCTTAGGTTTGTTTTGTCATAATAATAAAATATGCATTTTCTCCATTATTATTTGTTGTGCTTTGTCCTACCAGCCACTGCTACTAAGTAGGGTATGGGGTAATTTTTCATTGTTGAAATATTTATTTATTTAAATTTGGGCACTTTTTTTGTTATATCACCTCATCTTTGTTGTTTTTTTAAACCCCCCCCATTTGTTAGGAGTTAGAGACAAACTTAAAACATCATCTTAATGGCTTTGCAGAAGGAATGAACAGCTCCAAGTCTCTTGTTATTTGTATCTAAGCACTTGTGTTTAATATCATAGCCACAAAATTCATTACATAAATCATATTGTTTCCATAAAATGTATTTTGTGTTACTTCCATAGGTCAAAGATAAACAGTTGTTTACTGTGCCATACTGTAACGTCAGGTTTAGTGTTTGGTTAGAGCTACCAAACTTCTTTGTGTTTTTGAAACCACTGCCATATGAAATTCTGTATTAGTGTTGTACTCTGGGGGTCAAAATCTGGCAAGTCATCCTCCCAAAACAGTGTTCTTCAATGGAAAGGTGTTCCACTTCCCTCGAGGTTGTGTTTTGCTTTCCAGGTAAATCTTTGCCTTGGTGAGCCTGTGCCTGATGCCCTCTCCCTGCATCCTTTCTTCACGTTTATGCCTTCTCCAAACAGAATCCAATCCCTCACAAAATGAGTATTTTATTTTTCTTAATATATATTAATTGAAAATCTGGAACACTTTGTTCAGTTGTGCAGTGGGACTGCCAGATTCACAAAAGGCATCTTTCCACTGGGAATAATCTCACAAGAACTGCTTTTGCATTCGAAGAGTGGGAAGAGAAAGATTTCACTGGGTAAACGTTGTCCCTGTAAAGCACCATTGGCTGGTGGTGGTGTGTGGACTGTTTGCAGTTGTTCTCCCTGGAGAGAGTCACTGTCTTATCACAGGAGAATTTTGTTTCTTCCTAGAAATGATAAAGGCACTTAGTACATGTTCTGTTTTAAGCAGAAGAGTCAAAGGCTGGGTATTTCCTGTATCTGTTGCCAACAAAATCAGTCAAGATCGTGTGGAGAGTCAGTGATTGGCTGTTACTAAATTTGAATGGGAATATCTGCAAAAACAGCTTTTCATAGAATCATAGAATCAGATGGGTTGGAAAGGACCTCTGAGATCTATCACTACTTAAAATGTTTCATTGTCACTTACACAAGCAAAACTATTTTCCAGATCATTATAAATGAAGAGTTAAATTTTTTTTCAGATTTGGAACAGGCCTTTAACATAAAATCTTGAGATGGCAGAAGCATTCACATCCTAGTTGTGTTTTCTTGTTAGACAAAGCCAGGCTTAGTTTCTCAGCTGACTAAATATGGATTAGCTGCTTTTTAAAAATTACTTTCCCCTCCAAAGAGATCAGCTTTAGCTGTGGGATAATGATGCTTTTCCATTTTTTTGCTGTTGTAAGCAATACACTGATCTTTGGCATCTGTGCTCAAAATCTGGGATCAGAAAATGAGTTTTAGAGCTAAAACTATATGGCAAAGGTAAGACATTAATGCAAGACATCCTTGTTATGATTAATCAAGTTCATTCTTTCAATAATATTTTTACTTTTTAAAACGGAAAGTTTCATTCAGGTTTGATTTTTTTGTTTGGTTTTTTTTTGTTTTAGCTACATCTGAAGGTTTGACTGTGGGGGTTTTTTTCCCTGTATAATCCCAAAACCATTCTCTATCACTATTTCAAGATTTCTTGCCAATGCTGTAATTTCTAGCATGGTCTCTAAAAATATATTTCACTGACTGCCTTTTACTCATGTACAAATATTTTTTTTTATGCTTCTCTAGAGTTTCTTCATAATTTCTTTGCAATTTTTATTAGCTATAGGTCAGTTCAGTTGTTTGAAAGTTAACTCTTTGGGACTTCACTGTAATATTGTGAAAGTCTATGCATTTAAAAATGGAAGAGTGAATAATACACAAGTTCTTTTTTCTTTTTTTTTTTTTTTTAGATTCTTCAGATGGAAGTCTAAAAGCTTCTACGTATCATGGGACAATAGATGTTTATGTCAGTCAATTAAGAAAAGTGGATCTGAAATCCCAGAAAGGTTAGAAAACTAAAGGAAATATTTTTTGTGGCAGCTTTTGATGTAAAATGAAAGGGGATAAGGTTTGGTTTGGGGTTGTTTTTGGGTTTTATCTGTCTGTAAAAAAGTAGTTTGTGGTTCTTTGTTATCTACATTATCTTTTACCTCATAATACTATAAATACTTAAAATACAGTAAGCTCTGTGAGGGGCAATGATACGTAAGATGGATTTCAAAATTTTTGGTTTTCAGTATTTTTCCCCAGCAGAATTCTACAGAGTTGGCTTGGATTGCAGTGTTTGTTTACCTTGATCACAGTTTACTCTATGATACTTCATGTGCAGAGTGATAACTGACACACACACGTTTATTTTTCCTGCCTTCTGAGTGAAATGTCCCACTATGAAAATTTGAAGGCAGAAAACCAGATGAGAGTGTCTTACCCTACCGTTTTTCCTTTGTCTTCTCCTGTTTACTCACTAAAACTCCACTGCTTAGTTAAAAGCTCACAACAAAAGTTGAATTATTAGTTTTGCCATTCTGTAAATTACAAAGCCCTGAATACATCTTATGAGTCCTGGTTTTGAAACAAACCATAAAAAACCACACTACAGCATTTTTATATTTGGTGTTATCATCATGTCAGGAACTTCAGGTGGGTTAAATGAACAGGGATTTTGGTGCACTTCTGTCTTCTCTGAGACAGTGCCTGTGCCCTGTTAAAACCTGACATTTACTCAAAATGAGACTGATGATAGAAATGCATTGAAATCACTTGCATGTCCTGTACAAGCTATTTTGGTTTCATTAGTGTAAAGAAATTTATTTTTACATTATTTCTTGGTTACCTTTTGAATCACTCATTGCTAAGTTAATGTCTCTTGGCAAAGAGGAATGTACTTAATAAAAGCTAATTAATGTTATTTTCAAAACATTGAGATCTCTTCTGGCAGCACAGTTTAGTAAAGGCAAAGTTGAAGTTCTGTTTTCATTTACCCTGTAAATTCAGAGTAACTGCTGACAGCTGCAGTGTAGAAAACGTCCCCTTTGTGATAAATTAGCTGCGTGTGTGTTGGATTTTATGAGTCACATCACTGAGCAAGTCTCCAAGGAGGACCCAAAGATGAAGACCTTTTCCCTTTTTTATCTTGAGGCTTTTGTGTTTCCAGCAAAATGTAGGCCCAAATTATATTGACAGTTACTTGTTCATCAGGACTGTCACAGGCAAGTCATTCTGCTGGTTTTAAATTGCATAGCAAGGGTAGCTGTTAGGACATCACTTTTCTTACCATGATCTACTTCAGCTTTTGGAATGTACGTCCAGAAACATTTTTGTGTTTCTCTAAAGTGAATATTGGGTTTGGGAAAAACCAAGAAACACATAAATGAAGTGTATACTGAATTTTGCTAGGTTTTTGACTTAATGTGTAGGACACAGCTTCTAAACTTTGTGACTGAGTAATTCCAAACATGACTAATTTGGTCAGGTTGGGGGCCCACCATCTTCCTTTGGTCTGATGCATAGAAGCACATGGTTAGGGGAAGCAGAAGTCAGAATTTCTGGTTTTAATCTCAAAGGTAGAATTATTCAGGCCACCCAAGCTGCAGTTTTGCTAGGAGTTTACATTTTGGTGATATGTCGTCTCGACACTGGTTAAGTCACTCTTGAGACTGCATCTGTCGGGGGATGTGAGCAGCTGGCCCTGGGCAGTGGTGAGAAACAATCACATTCACAGTTACGTGAGCGAGTGGTGTCTCGTTGTTCCAAATGAGCAATTCTTTCATCATGTGCCATGCAGTGGCTGGATTATTTGTCCAGTCTGGTCCCCTGTCCTTGCTCAGGGTGTAAATATGCAGCTAGAAGATGAAACTAAAACCATAATACCTGTGAGATCTAGTAGATTTGCTTCCCTTTGATTGTTCCTGTAATAAGATGCCCCACCAAGAGACGTTGCTAGCAGTGTATGTCAATGTTTATTTTCATGTCTGTGAAGAGAAAGAAATACTGTGACACTTTCTATATGTGACATACAGTGCTCTGTTTATGTTAAATGTAAAGAAAAACCCAAACCAACAAACCACAAACAAAAACCCAAACACAACAAACAACGATTTGATTCAAGTAGTGAAATAATTGCCTGTTTCATGCTTTGATCTCAGTGTTAAACTAACTAGCTGTCACTTCAATATATACCAGGTTCAATTACAGTCAAGGTGCCTGCCTCTCTCAAAGCCTATTTAGAGTTGTCTGGAAGAAAAGTGGATGTGAACTCAGAGATCCAGTTAAAAGAAACACAGAGAGCCTCCAAAGACGATCACGTAACTATAAGTGGTAAGGCTTACTAATCTTGGCTTCCAATAAATGTCTGTCTGGCCTTAGTCAGAGGCATCTACACTTCTTTATTAGTTTATTGCTCTTGGCGGCCTCTTTTTCAATCTGTTTCATGCTCAGATGTTTGCTTGTGCCATTGTACTCCCCCTGTAACTGGAGAACTTTCAAATTTTGATTGGTAAATGACTTGTGAATGTAATCAACTGCTTCTCTAACAAAAGCCTTAAAGCCAAATTCATCCTAAGCATTATTCCAGTGAATTTGTGGGAGGTAATCCAGAGCTGACTTTGACCCATTGCTTTGTTGGCTTAGACAGTCACAAATAATAGATTGCCTAGGAATGTCTATTAAAAATGTAATAAAAAGTTTTCCGTGTCTGTCTTGGAGTGGGAGGGGGAAATAAAAGGGGTATATGGCATATCTGTAAACATACTGTAGTGCAGGATAGGCTGAGAAGTTGTGAGTGGGAGATCATTAGAAGAAGTGCAGAAGCAGCTGGAGCTGGAAGAATAGAGAGTACATGGAAAGATACCTGCAATTACTGGAAGCATTCTTCTAATGCATTTAAAATCGAGCTCAGAATCCCAAGCTGTGCTGTTTCCTGCTTGAGAAAACAGTTTTACAATTAATTGTCAGGGTGTGTATTTCTCTCCCCTTCTCCAGATGTGTCTATCTAGAAATTAAGGCTGTTGCTGTTACCAATTACGCAGTTTGCTCTGGAGGAAACACTGAAAAAATGTGTCTGAAGGCTTCAGCTTTGTTTGAACGTGCTATGTCAGTGTGACCTGATGTGATAGAGGATTGTGTGAGGCTTTGATTTTTGCTTTGGCTTTAAACCTAAGAAAATAAGCACAAAAAAATCTTGTCCTCCCCCATGTAAATGTTAATCTCAAAGTCAGGAAACTTTAGAAGTGTAATTACATAACTTTAATATGTAGCCTGCTTATACATCTTTTCCTGCCTAAGAACAGTATCTAGCACTTGAATTTGCTAGTGGTTATTAAATACAATTTCTTTAAAAAACATGATTAGAAGTTCTTGGGTTAAAAACCTAGAGGACCCTAGATTTTAGCAAGACTGTGGAACGAATCACCTCAGCAGTAAAACAAGACTTCTCCCAGTGAATGAGGACTACTGGCCAGTCAATCATCTTGTTACTTTGGCAGTGTTAAAGATAAGAGTGGTATTTCCAATATACACAGCTGAATGACTTCTCTTGTTTCACAACCCAGTCAGTGTTTACACAGGACAGTCGTCCCTGAAGCGGATGTAATTTTTCAACCCACCATTCTGTATGAAAATGATCTTGGCAGTTGAGGCCCAAAGTGGCTCTGATTAGTTAACCCTTGAATATACACATTCCAAAGGCATAGAAATCATCAAGAATTATGCAGAGGCAACAGCATTAGGCTACTGATAACTAATTGCTTAAAGAAGTTACGTTACGCAAAGAAGTCTCTTCCTCTTAAAATTGATAGTTGATCATTTTCTTGTACAAGTAGATTCTCAAATAATTAAAAATTATTTAATGCTATTTCTGCATCATGAGAACAATGTGCACTGTGATGTTCCAGGTACAAGGTCCATAACTGTCTTGCTGCTGCAACTGAAGAAATGTAAAGTAGAGAGTGAAGAGGGGTTTTGCCAAGAGGATAAAACCTGTGTCCCAAGAGCATAGCAGTTTAGTTTCTTTATGCTTCTGAGTTCAAAGGTTAGTTTAAAAATAGATGATTTTTCAGAAACTGGCCAGTTCTCATGTGGATAACGCAGGAACTCTCTGCTTTCAGGAAGCTTTACTTGCCTCTGGGAATACTGTGAAGGTGTTAGAGAGAAGGCTGTCCAGTGGGAAGGCAGGGTTGAGTCCTGTGATGGGTAAACAAGCACTTAGTCTCTCACCTGCCATAGGAAAGCCTTCCTTTCTGCTGTTACAGCAGTTGCTGTGTCCGTCATCACAGGCTGCACGGCCCCCACTTCCACACTGACGGGGATGTCACTACACTGTGATCCCCCAGGCAGTCACATCCAGGGGGTTGCAAGGTAGCCAAGGAATAGAGTGGGATTTAGTGAAAGCAAGAAGATGAATGTCTGGAGTTAGTAATTTGCAAGGACAAGGCACCTGTTCCCATTGACATCAGTAGGCACCTTTAGAAGTAATATGTATGGTATAATGAAATTTGTTACAAAAACAGGAAGTTTGTGCTAAGTACTGGTCCAGCTTCCATCTGTGAAAGTGTTTGGCTGTCCACTTTGGGAATGCTTGAGTAATTCCAGTAATTTCTGATGGTAATCGTGTCAAGGTGTTCCTTCCTTCTGTCCCCTGGCAAATAGGGAAGCCCTTGCTTCTCAATGATTGCCTTCTCTGTGTCTCTAGGTATGCCTGTATTCTTAAATCACCTGCTTTGAGAAGCCTGTAGAGATTATTACCTAGAGGTACTATACAGGTACCTAAATAAGGAAATAACAAAGTACCTGTATAGGTAACTAATAATTACCTGTAGGTACTATGTAAATACCTATAGCTGTAAGTAAGAGGAGGGGTAGGAGGCTAAGAAGTGCTCAGTATTTAAGGAGAAAAGGAGCTTAGGAGATTGTCATGTCAAAGGGATTACAAACATTTTGAAGGTTAAAATTCAGATAATCTTAACTTACATGCTTTTTAGGCCATTTTCCTAGTAAATTATTTTAAGTTTGAGATATGAAGGTAGGAACCTATATAAACCTACGAGGAGAAATATTTAAATAAGAACATCAGGAAAGTAGTAATGTTACAGTGTTGAAAACAATAAGCACCATATTAATATGACTGTTCTGTAAAACTCAAAATAATCCTTTGGCTTTACATGGTGTTAGTAATGCTTTGCTGGACTGTGTCCAGTTTTGAATACTGTACTTCAAAACAGCATGTGGACAACTGCAGAGTCTCTAAAGGAGAACACATGATAAGAGGCCTAAAACCACGATTAATGAGAGAATTGATGTTTTTGTCTAAAAAGAGAAGTCTAGGGGAAGAGAAGATTTATTTTTCTAGTAGTAAGAAGTTTCTGCAGAGAAATAAAGAAATAAATTTTTCTGTCTGCTGGCAATAGGACTATAAGTTACAATTTGACCTTATGGTAAAGAAAACTTAGGTAAATAGTAGACGTTCTGATAGCACTTGTCTGGTGAGGCAGTAGGGCTGTCAGTACTGCAGATTGTGAAGGCCAGGTGATGTGAGCGTGCCAGGTTAAATTCAGTGCATCCTCATGTTGCTTTCAGCTCTATTTTCTCTTGCCTTAAGTTAATGTGACCATCCGCTTCTACCCGCTCCACAGTCACAAAGGAAGGTTATCAGGCTCATGAGTCAATGGTGACTAAATGAAATGTGGCCAGTGGGCACACTTCAGCCCATTCCTGTTGCCAACTTGTGTGTTGCCAGCTGTAAGCTTTACTGGAAAAAGTCTTGCATTCATTCAGAGACTTTCTTTGGATCCTTGGTGTAATGTAATCCCTGGACCTTTGGATAATGGTATCAGTTTCCAAACCGTGTAAATCCTCCATCTCTGAGTGGTGCAATGGACTCATCTGGTTTCAGATGTTTCTCCATTCCTGGCCCCAGTTCTAGTGTCAAGTTCATATCCAGTGGCAACCTTTCACCTGATGCCATCTGTGTGCTTGGTGCTGGATTAGCTTTTAATATGGGCAGTCACTTCATCTGGTTCTCAGCTCTTGTTGTGAGTTTCCTTTCATAGGTGCTCCTCAGAGACTGTGGATGTTTGTCTTTGTACGTTATCATGTCTCCCTGTTCTTACTTTCTCAAGTTGTCAAACCAACCTCTTTATATTTTTCTGTCCTCATATGAAGATCATACTCTTTGGGAATTACTGTCAAGACACAGTTTCTCCTGATTTCAGCCAGCATGACAACAATTGCAGCAGTTAACAGGATTTTTAGGTTTTGATTCTAATCCCATCCTTTCTACGGCTCTTGTGCTTTGCTAAGCCACATCTGAACACGTTCCTCTGAGCCAGGCCTTCTGGTGACCATGCACACAGGTAGCAGGGCTCCCTCATATTGACTTGTGTCTTCCCTCAGGTGTCTGTCCTGGGTATGGAGAGGAATCCCCTTTTCTTCTCTAACTCCTTTTCTCCTGTGAAAATGTCCAGGTATACATTCCCTCTACCTTCTGGGTTGATCCAGCATCCAGTTCTTCTTTCGATCACTAGGAACTCCTTAGATGGCCTTTTATTTCCTGTGCCTGTGGAGAAAGTCACCCTGTCTAATTATCAGATCCCTTTAAAAAGATGGACATTGACACCACTGTCCTACCTCTGACTTTCCAGGTTTCTCTTGATAACACACTTCAAGTCTTTTCATCCTGTCTGGTTCTCCCAGTAGATTGGGGTGAGAGGCACCTTTCTTCTTACATCAGTCATTCAGTCAGGCATGCACTGAAACATTACAACTTTCACATCTGTCTGATGTTCCCCTCTAGAGCAAAGGGGATTTAGACAGATGTTTCCTACCATCAGGAATAACTTATTTCTCACTGCCTCCTCATGCTGAGAGAGTGGCTTGTGGAATGCTGTGGATTTACCCTTTAGGGTTGCTCCAAAGCCAGTGTGCAAGGAGGGAGCTGACTGCATGAGTCTCCTACACAATGCACAAAGCTTTATTGATGGATGTGTCTTAGAGTTTTCATTATCAGAAATTCTGTGGTGTTTACTCCAAGGTAGTGTCTGTGTTTTTAGCTGTCTGGAGCTCCAGGACTGAATACAAACACAGCTGAAGGGGCAGTGAATAGCGTGAGGCAAGAAACTTGCCTTTAAAAGGGAAGTAACTCTCAGTCTGCTGAAACTTAAGGGTTTTTTTCTGACACGTACCAGCTGCCCGAGTGTCGTGCTCCCTCTCCCACTGTGCAGCTGTCTTGGGTCTGTTGCAGTCAGAATTACACTTCTGGTCCCAGGAGTAACACTATCAGCTGTCACGTCCATCCATGTTTTCTCTGTTCTCAAGGCACTTCAGAACTTTCCTTCTTTCTTAGAAGCAGTTTTTATTGACTCATGGCCCCTACAATTGAGTGGGAAGAGCTTTGTTTTACAATGTCCCTCCAAACACTGCCTTCTGTGAAGCCTTGATCCTTAAGCAATATCTTAAAAAAAAAATAAACAAAGACCCAGGTTGTATCTGGAAAAGATTACATTCCTTCAAGTCAAACAGAAAGTTCATCCAACTTTTATTAAACACATTATAATAATAATGGCCAGTCTTCGCGAGCGAAGATCCGGGGAAGGTCTTTCCACCTTCCAGCCTGCGCATTGGATTTTTTAGGTGAGACACAGTGTGCGCGGAACTGAGCCCACCCTTTAATCCTAAGGTTCATCTGCCGGGGCCAAGCGAGCTTGGACGGTGGCACATTAGATGAGAAGCTATCCTACAGATTTTTATTGGTTTCAGCTTGCATTCAACTCAAGCTGTTCACAGCCTTTTTGATACATACCACAGTCCTAACACCACAAGTGAACAATATTTAAAATATGATCCTCTTCTAGTGTTTTATGGTATGAAAATAGAGCTCTCAACTTCTCCAGTCTCCAGGAAGGCAAATAAATAAACAGTCAGTACTTGACTGTGTTAAGTTTTGCAAAGGTGTTGTCTTCCTTTAGACACCAACATGGGGGCAAAACCCCAACCTTTTTCCTGGGCATTCAATCGAAAAGGTGTCCACACAGCATCTTGGTGTATCTGTCTTCTCCTGAGCTCATGCTGCTGTCTTGACTGGTGGGTTTTGAAATGAAATCTTTTTGTTTATTTCCCCTCCCACCCCCAATGCTCAATCCAGCAAGCTGTTTGCTTTTGTGATTTAATCAAGCTAACAAAGTCATCCTCAGAATCCACTTACATTCCCACGGTGTTCAGAGTACAAGCAGCAAGTACAGTTAAGACCCAAACGATCATCAAAAGGTCTCCAGCTAAACCTTGGTGCTTGATTAGTGCCTCATACACAAAGCTGTTTAAATATTTTAAATATCTTTGAATCTACTACTAGTGATGGGCTTAATAACCTTAAAATAATTCAAAGATCTTTATCCCTATGGAGTGGAACTTGATGCTCTCTTTCTTGCAGGCAGTTTGGTGTTTTCTGCACCCCCTCACAGGCAAATCTCCAAAAGAAGTATAAGGAACTAAACATTTTTCTACTCTCACATATCAAATGCAAAATGGGAAACAGAGCTCAGACAACCACTGAGCTTTAAAATGGCTCTTGTAAATTTGCTTCTGTGTTTCTTAAACTCTTCTTTAACTTTTTAGCAGAAGTCTAGGAGGGTGTAAACAGCACATGAAACTTCTTTTACAGCGCTAATTCTGTGCTTCATTGTTTGTTCCTTGTACAGAAGTACAAGCCATAGTCACAAAAACAGAGAGAGGAACTAGGACCAAGCAATCCAATATGCAATTTCTGGAAATATATCTCTGCCCTACATCTATTGTGTCTTCTCTCTTTAGGAAAAAAAAGTTGTGTTTTCAATGTCTTATAGCTCTGTTAAGGATCAACTGAAATTTTCCTTCACAGTTCTTTCTTGGTTCCATTTTTTTGTCACTTGTAGGCTATTGGTGATGATCATCCTAGATTTAAGTCTGTAATGAGATGACAAGTAGGTCTGTGGCTTCTGCCTTATAGTGGGAATGGTACTGACCCAGCGTGGCTGAGATTGCTGCTGCCCAGAGCAATCAGGTGTGCAGAAATTGTACTGGGACATCCCCAAGGAGATCCCTGAAGGCATGGTATCATCTGACAACAAAGGACTTTGAAATGACTCTGTCACTGTTGGACTCCTCTGAAAACTCTGTACTTCTAAATGGTACCTCAGCCTGTAGTGAATTGCTGTGGGTTTGGCCCATAAACTTAAATGAATCCCACTTAGAACTAGCAAAGCACTGAAACACTATTGAAAAGTTCTGGCACACAGACCTGAGTTTTGGAGATCGATGCAGTGATGTCAGTTGGAGTTTTGCCACTGTTTTTGCTGCGGCCAAAATTTAACTTCAGCTGTGTTACAGGTCAGAGCAGAGCATGTTTGCAAAGTTGGTTCAGAAACTGCTTTCCTGCCATCCCTCATGCTATTCCAGGCTCAAACTAGTTCTAAACTTAGAATTCACTCAGTCACACGAACACATGAAGGCTGATTTTGTGATTAAAAGATCTCATTTTAATTCCCAATTTGGACACAAATCTTCTGTATAAAATTGGAAGGTCATTTACTCTCTTGGCCTCAGTTTCTTAATTGTAAAATAAGGGTAAGTTGAACTCTATTATACAGTGAACTTTTCAGAGCATAATTGTGAAACTAAGTTTATGTGAAACGTAAGAAGACGGACATTTCAGAGTTGGTTGGTTGGGGTTCTTTTAGGCCACTATCATAAGAAAGTGACAATAGTAGCAACATGTCTGGTCATCTGGATAATGAGGTCTTACCATGTCTCTTTTCTGTGTTTACAGTAATAATGAAAACTTTTCAAATTACTTAACCAGATTAATGTGTCATGTAGTGTCATGGCTGAACCACAACTGGGAACTGAGCACCAGCAGCCTCTCACTCCCACCAGTGGGAAGGGGGAGAGAAGTGGAAGAGTAAAAGTAAGAAAACTCATGGGTTGAGATAAAGACAGTTTAATGGGTAAAGCAACAGCTGCACATGCAAACAAAGCAGCACCAAGGAATTCTTTCACTACTTCCCTGGGGCAGGCAGGTGTTCAGCCATCCTCAGGAAAGAAGGGGATGTAATAGCCACTGGGTAAGACAAATGCTGTCACTCAGAATGTTCCTCCTCTTATCCTTCTTCTGCCAGCTTTATATGCTAAGCCTGATGCCCTGTGATGTGGAATATCCCTCTGGTCAGCTGACCTGGCTGTGTGCTCTCCCAGCTCCTTGGGTGCCCCAGGCCTCCTCGCTGTCAGGGCAGTGTTAGAAGCAGAAAAGGCCTTGGTGCTGTGCAAGGGCCACTCAGCAATAACAAATTTTGTATGTTATCAACACCATTTTCAGCACAAATCCAAAACGTGGTCCCTACTAACTACTATGAAGAAAATTAACTCTATCCCATGCTAAACCAGTACTTTCAGATAGATGTATTGGGTTTGTGTTACAAGAGTTTGGTTGGGGGAGGGCTACTATAGGGGTGGCTTCTGTGAGAAGCTTCCAGAAGCTGCTCTCATGCCTGGTAGAGCCAATGCCAGCTGGCCCCAAGACAGATCCACCACTGGGCAGGGCCAAGCCCACCAGTGACAGTGTTAGCACCTCTGGGATAGCACAGTCAAAGGGAAGAAGCTTGCTGCACAAGCAGAGAGGAGTGAGAATGAATCTAGGAGAGAAACAGCCCTGCAGACACCAGGGTCAGTGAAGCAGGAGGGGGAGAAGGTGCTCCAGGCAGAGATTCCCCTGCAGCACCTGGAGCAGGCCCTGGTGAGGCAGCTGTGCCCCTGCAGCCCACAGAGGGCACGAGGGTGCAGAGATCCACCTGCAGCCCATGAAGGAGCCCATGCCAGAGCAGGGGAAGAGTATAAGTTCTCCCCCTAAGGAGGAAGGAGCAACAGAGATGACGTGGTGAATGGACCACAATCCCCATTCCCCATCCCTCTGTCCCACTGATGGGGAGGAGGTAGAGAATTTAGGAGTGAAGTTGGCCTGGGAAGAAGGGAGAGGTGTGGGGGGAAGGTGTTTTTTAAGTTTTGGGTCTGTTTCTCATTACCCCACTCTGATTTGATTGGTAATAAATTAATTTTTTTTCCTCAAGTCAAGTGTTTTGCCCATGATGGTAACAGGTAACTGATCTCCCCCTGTCCTTATCTCAACCCATGAGCCTTTCATTATATTTTCTCTATCCTGTCCAGTTGAGGAGAAGAGAGATAGAGCAGCTTTAGTGGACACCTGACATCTAGCTAGGGTTAACCCACCATAACATATTCCTAGCCCATAATAAAAAGTACAGTATTATAGAATAAGATCTAAAACTTTATTGTAATGATGTATTACGGGAAATGAGATTAATGCAAAAAAACTGTATCAAGAATGAAATGTCAGAAGCCTCTGTTAAAAATACACAAATTCTACCAAATGAAAGAGTGTGCTCTCTTCCAGGGAGCTTTGAAAGAATGGCAGTATAAAGATGATACGTTTACTGTGTGTCAGATTAAATTAACAAAACTCTCTTTTTCAGGTCACATGAATCAAAAGGATGAAACAGACAAATGGATTAAGGCTGAGACACAAAATGGCAAAGTATATCTCAAAAGCCAAAGCTGGATCCAGTCTGTCAAGCTGAAGAGTTCTTAAAGGGGAAATAGGCCAAAGAGATTAAATCAAGAAATTGTAAAGGAACACTTATATGAAATTATGAAACTTTGTTGATGTATATTCTTAATATAAGAGAGAAAGGATATTAAAAATGAGGACGTTTTAACCCAAGATTTGCCTGTGACAGTGCTGGTGCTAAACAGGTCTGGTTTACTTTTAGTGCCTTTTATGAACAAGAGGATCTTATATATTCAGAATTTATATAACTTGACCCAGTTTAAAAGCTGGTAGGTTTCAAACAAAAGTTTGGAATTGTCATTTAAAAACAAAAAGCATTTTCAACATTTCTTATCTCCAGATATGAAAATTTACTTCCAAGTTGACGTGCTTTGCTCTTCCAAGTGTAATGTGCTCTGTTACACTTTTTAATTAAATGTCTCAATACTGTGGAAATTCTATTGGCTTATGCAAAATGCAGAGAATTTTCTTCAAGCTGTCTGTATCATGGATGGGATAAAATCACTTTCAGAACTGTAGTTCTTACATGGTCTTCTTGTTTGGTGTTTGAACCCTAAGGGGTTTTTGCCTTGTCAGTGGGTACTCTGTGTAAAACTATTGCTGTGAAATGGCAAAACGTGCTCTGTGTCTTCTTGAACTGCTTGTTTCTGGTAGCTATGTCTGCCACTGCTCATCTGCAAAGAAAAGCTTTTAAAGTAAATGGAAGTGTAATGGATCTGGCTCGATTTCAAGGAGGAACACTCCACCAACGGGACTTCAGGTGAGAGTCCACACGAACATTCCCCTGAAGTAAAAGGTGCCATAGAATGGAAGTATTGGCCTGGTAACTCAGAACTGTACTCTGTTTATTTGCCACGTTTCCAGCCCCGTCCTGCAAGGCTGCCAGTCAGCTCTTTGAGGCGGGAAGGCAGAGGAGGGAGGTGAGGGAAGGAGGTGGGCCCTGCACAAGGGCACATGTGATTTTTGTGAAGGATTTTGTGTTGCTGTAACACAAACACACAGTAAAGTAGATGGAGCTTTAAAAAGCCTTTCCATACGTCTGTATGACACCTTATAAAAGAAGTACTGAAATTTGTGTTTTAAAGCTGAAATGTGAGAATCTCTGCCAACCGAGTGGATGGAGAGTAGCAGAGGAGAGTTCAGACCGTCAGCTCAGGTTTTAGGTTGTGTGTGTGTGTGTGTGCTTTAGATCATAATGGTACGTTATGAAATGAACTTCTTTGCCACATGATCCCCCAGGAGGTATAATGGTCCCTGGCTAATGGACTTCAGTAATCAAGGGCAGCATTTGTACTGTAATTTAGGATGGTTAAAAACTCCACGTTCTTTTTGCTGTTGTGTATGCTGTTTGTTGAGATGAAGTGGGCACTGATGTTTATGGCAAATTATATGTATTTTTATTATAAACACTAATATATAAAACACTTTTAAATAGTAATATGAAATGCATTACAATATTACTACTTATTATTATACTTTTAATAGGTACAATATTAATAAATCTATAATGGGTTTGGCTATCCAGAAAAATTTTTGAAACTAATGATTTCTATGCTGCAACCAAAGTGAAAGAAGCACCTCACAATTCACACCCCATGGAAACATAAAAACAGTCTAGTAGATATTTCAGGAGGTCGAGTCCATTTAATGTAATTCCAATTATTAACACACACTACAAAGCCTGTCACCCTCTGAGATTAAGGTTGTGCTTTTTGGGACTGCTGCATCAGCAATATAAGGGAGAACATAGTAAGAGAACACGTTATTTGTTCCACATTGAAAAGAAAGCAAGCTAAGGCATTCGTATTCCAAAACTAGCAGGAATTAAACATCAGGATTGTTAGTGCTACCACTAAAGCTAATTATTATATTCTTTCCAAGCTAATAAATGTTAAGACAGGCTAGGACCTTAATATAAAGGTCAAGAATGAGCTGAAGAAGGACAAATCCTTGGGAGTTTCCCAAAAAACATTGAGTAATGTCTTGTTCTGCTGTAATGAGGTGAAACTATATTTTTCTGTAGACAAGTAGAGATTAGTAGGTTATCAGTAATTAGAATTTAAATGGCAAATCCCATGTGTGCTTTTTTTTTTTTTTGTCAGCTATTTGATGAGAAGATGTTCTTGTAATGGGAGAAAATTTATCCTTTAACATTTTTTCTTATCTGTGCTCTTTTTAATTTGATTCTCCTCATCTGTCAGCTGCCAGTCAACTCACAGTTCAGATCTGCAGTTTGCTGAGAGACTTGAGCTCAGCCCAGGAGGGTTTTATGAGAATTAGGGCTCTGGGTGCACAAGTGGCTGGTGAGGAGTGGAGAACTCTGCTTAAATGTACGTTGTGTATGTTGTGTATTAAAGACTCAGTAGTCACTGCCTACTCACTGTGCTCAGTTACTCAAGAACTCTGTACTTGATGAGTACCAGCCGTGTCAAGTGTGAAGTTCCGTGGGGAGTCAGAGTGTTAATGGCCTGGAGGCGACTTTCATGGCACACAAGAACCCCAAACACACACAGATTTATTTATTGCCTACCCTGCACGGGACTGCAAAAACTTTCATTGTTGAAAGATGAAGACAGCTTGAATCGACATCTGAGGGTTAGCAGTGCTGTTTGAGTGCAGCTGTCTCGCTTGGAGGCATTTGCACTCCTGTGACAGGGATTCACAATGCTTCCTTACTAATGCAACAAATGGCCTTTTATTAAAGTGTGATTAGTTTTAAGAAAAAGTAATACAGTGTTCTTTTCATGCTCTAGAGAAAAACCCTTGAACTGTAGAAGATGTTGTGCAATTTCTTCATTTTTCATTTGAAGAATTTGTTTATTCAGGCTCTGATCTGTGTTTTTTAGTGAAGGTGGTTATATTACCATCCCAGTCATATCCAAGTCAGCATCATTATGTTCTTGTTTCTCTCAAGACAGCTTGTCTGCAACAAGGGTTTTAAAATAATAATGACAAAGAAAACATTTTCAGAGGCTGTTTCTACAAAGAACCCTAAAAGCAGTTTAATGAGAAAAAGTTCTTTTTTTTAACTGAAGCTATCAATATTATAAGAGGTGTGTGGAAACTAAAACAGAAGATAATTTTTTAGGCCACAGAATCACAGAAGAAATTAGGTTGGAAAAGATCTCTGGAGATCATTTAATCCTGGTATTGGTTTAAATGGATCCACCTAGACCAGGTAGGTTATGGCTTTGCCAGATGAGTTCTGAGTATCTATTGGGTTGAAGGTTGCACAGCCTCAGGGATCCTATTGAAGGGTTTGACCAGCCTCCTGCTTAAAAAATTAGTTTCCTTGTAATCAGAATGTAATCAGAATTTTACATATGTCACTTGTCCTATCAGTCACCTTTGAGAATGGTCTGGCTATGCCTTGTCTTCTGTATCCTCTGATCAGAATTAGAGACAGCAGATAAGGTCTCCTCCATCTTCAGCCTCCTCTTGTGACTTAGCAAAGCAATTCTCTGAAGACTCTTTATGAGTCATGTGCTCCAACCCTTTATGGTCCTGGTGGGCTTCACCCACACTTGCTCTAGTGTGTCAGTGTCTGCCTAAAAGCAGACAAGGCCATTGGAATAACAGCACTGTGTTTGGATGAAAATGACACGAAAGAAGATAAAGAAACCAGCTACATCAGAAGATATCACAGCATCTCCAGAGTGGTTTTTCATAGCTCTGTAGAAAAGTTAAAGTGAGTGTACAGGTCCCTCTCTCTGTTTTTCTATTTGAACAATGTCTTTAACACCTCCAAGTATTTTTACCCTTTCCTCCTTCACCTCTGCTTTCTTTTTGGCCACTCTCTTCATTGTAGTTACCTTCTGTCACCCACCTCTTGTAAAGTGTATTGTTTCAGAAATGGAATTGAGTACACAGAGGCAGTGTTATAGAGCCTTGCAGTTACCTGTGCTGGCCTTGGACCCATCCCAAGGCTGTGTTTTGCAGCTTTTGTGATGGCTGAACCAGGAAAGAGTTGTCTGTGATGTCCAAAACTACCCGTGACCCGTCAGATCTCCCTCAACATTTTGTGGCCACTGCCCCTTTGCAGCATTAGAACACAAAAGCAACAAACTACATCAAAATAGGAGAAAATCAGGCTCCTGTGTGAGACACCCTAAAAAGAAGTTGAAGAGCAACTCTCTCCTCTCCCTCCTTTCCCAGTGGTATCAGTCCAGCAACTTTCATTACCTTCCCAAGCTGAAAAAACTCAACCCGCCGCTTCCAGTCTTTTGAACATCTCTCTGCTTCCCTCCCCTCGCTGAGCTGGCTGTCAGCCCACTCCTGGCTCCACACCCACCTCCCCCACTGCTGCTCCTGCGCTCCAGAAACCTCCCCTGGGCTGAGCGTGCTCTTGTGGTCCTTGGGGAAGAGCCAACTCTCCATCTCCTCTGCAGGAGATTCAACCAGATCTGGTGTGTCACGGCCACAGCAAGGCAGACTCCCTCCCTGCTGGCCAATTCCATAATGATATAGTATACAGCATCTAGGCTATACGAGAAAAAAATCCAACCTAAAGTGCTGTGTTATTTGCCAATAGTGCTACTACAGTGTTTTTTGTGGGGTTTTTTTTCCCCCTAAAGTGGAAATGCTGAAGGTGGTTGCAGAGGAGGCAGACGTGCCCAGCTGTAATACTTGCACCACCACAGCAGGAAAGAGGAAGTGGGCAGGAGTGGAAAAGGGACAAAATTAGTGAAGCAAGGAGGGTTCCTTTTCAGCCACTGCAGGATACTTTTTTTTTAAATCTCCAACACTGACACACTGTATAAACCACATGAACACAAGGCTGCATCTGTTTTTATATTAGGGAGGCCTGTGCCATGGAGGAATGTGTGCACAATTTATATGAGCTATAAGCTCTGAGCTATAAAATAAAAATCAACTCATCCAAGTCCAAATTCCTGTTTTTCATGGAAACTGCAATGTATGGTGGCTGTCTGCAGCATGTATAAGGGGAGCTGTTACTATTTTTTTGGAAGTTTATGATGTCTCATGCCTGGAGCTACAGTTGAGTGGTTTGCCAGAAACAGCCATTCATTAATCATCAACACATGGCAAAAAAGATTGTTTATTTAAGATATACTATACTATGGTAGAACCTGCTTATTTATTTGTATAGTGCCTTAAATGAACACATTGATGACTAAAAGCATTTCAGGAAATAATTGCAATTATCTTTGGCAAAACAACTATCTCCTGGTATAAGTGAGACAAAAGTATTGGCCCAAACACTCAGCTTGAGCAGCACTGGAATATGTAATTGAATCCTTGTCTGAAGTTTCAGTCATTTTTACTGAGGAGGATAGGTAGGAAATACAGTTCT